ACTATCATAAATAAATAAAAAAAATTTAAAAAAAAAAGAGAAATTAAAAAGTATTTTGAATAAATGAAAATGAGAACACAAATTATCTAAATTTATGGGATGCAACAAAAGCAGTAGAGAAAAATTTATAGCATAAAATGCATATATTAGAAAAGAAGAAAATTCTACAATCAATGATCTAAGTTTCTACTTCAGGAAACTAAAAAAAGAAAAGCTAACTAAATCCAAAGTAAGAAGAAGAGAGGAATAATAAGAATTACAGCAGAAATGGAGAAAATTGAAAACAGTTAATCAACAGAGAACAATCATTCAAACCAAAAGCTAATTCTTTGAGAAGATAAATAAAATCAATAAGCCTCTAGTCAAATTAAGGAAAAAAAGAAAGGACACAAATTACTAATATAAAAATACAAAATAAAATAAAGGACACAACTACAGATCCTATGGACATTAAAAAGGTACTAAAGAACTACTGTAAAAAACTCTATGCCCATGAATTTGATACACTAGACAAAATGGACCTATTTCTTATAAAACACAATTTTCCAAAATTCACACAAGAATAAACAAACTGAATAGGTTTCTATCTATTAAAGAAATTGAATCAATAATTCAGACATTCCAGATAAGTCCCAGGCCCAGAGTTTACTGGTAAATTTTACCAAATATTTAAGGAACAAATTATATGAATTCTCTACAAGTTGTTCATAGGATAGAGAGAAGCCTAGAAGCCAAGGGATTATTTCCTAACTCATGCTATGAGGCCAGCATTATCCTAATACCAAAATCAGACATTACAGGAAAACCATAGACCAGTATCTCTCATGAATATAAAGGATTATTTTTTTTTAATTTTATTTATTTATGATAGGCACACAGTGAGAGAGAGAGAGAGGCAGAGACACAGGCAGAGGGAGAAGCAGGCTCCATGCACCGGGAGCCCGACGTGGGATTCGATCCCGGGTCTCCAGGATCGCGCCCTGGGCCAAAGGCAGGCGCTAAACCACTGCGCCACCCAGGGATCCCCTCTCTCATGAATATAGATGCAAAAATCCTCAATCAAATATTAGCAAATCAAATTCAACAATGTATGAAAAGAATTATATACAACTGAGTTGGGCTTATCCCAAGTAGTCATGGATGGTCCAACATTAAAAAAAACAATTAATGTAATCAATCACATCAATAGGCTACAAAAAACCCCTCATATGATCATTAATAGATGAAGAAAAAGCAACTGACAAAATCTAACATCTATTCATGATAAAAACTCTCAGCAAACTAAGATAAAGGGGGATTTCCTCAACTTAATAAAGCATATCTATTAAAAAAAACATACAGCAAGACACCTGGATAGACAGTTCAGCATCCAACTCTTGGTTTTGGCTCAGGTTGTGATCTCCAAGATCAGGCCCATGTACTGAGAGGGCTCAGTACAGAGTCTGCTTAGTTTCTCCCTCTGCCCTCCCCCACAACTCTCTCTCAAATAAATAAATAAATCTTTAAAAAAATATAGCTAGCATCATATTTAATGATGAGAAACTTGAAGCTGGGCAGCCCGGGTGGCTCAGTGGTTTAGCGCTGCCTTCAGCCCAGGGCCTGATCCTAGAGACCCGGGATTGAGTCCCGCGTCGGGCTCCCTGCATGGAGCCTGCCTCTCCCTCTGCCTGTGTCTCTGCCTCTCTCTCTCTGTGTCTCTCATGAGTGGATAAATAAAATATTTAAAAAAAAAAAGGATACTTGAAGCTACTTGAAGCTACTATGATCAAAAACAAGGCAAGAAAGCTGCCTCACAACTCCTTTCAATAGTATATTAAAAGTGTCAGCTAGTGTAAGAAGACAAGAGGGAAGCCTGAATGCAACTCTTCTTGATCCTGGGATTGTGAAATTTGAGTTCCATGTGGGGTATAAAGTACTCAAAAAAAAAAAAAAAAAAAAGACAAGAAGAAACAAAAGGCACATAGATTGGGAGGGAAGAAATAAATTGTTTGCAGATGACATGATCATCTATGTAGAAGACCCAAAAGAACTCCTGGAACTAATAAAAAAATTATAGAAAGGTTGTAGGATACAAGGTTAATATACAAAAGCCAATCATTTTATATAGCAATGAACAAGTGGAATTTGAAATTAAAAAACACAATACCAGGGGATCCCTGGGTGGCTCAATGGTTTAGTGCATGCCTTTGGCCCAGGGTGTGATCCTGGAGTCCCGGGATCGAGTCTCACATCAGGCTCCCTGCATTGGGCCTGCTTCTCTCTCTGCCTGTGTCTCGGCCCCTCTCTCTTTCTCTGTGTCTCTCATGAATAAATAAAACCTTTAAAAAAAATACCATTTACATTAGCACACTCAAAAATTAAATACTTGGGAATAAATCTCACAATATATATATATATAAGATCTATATGAAAAAAGGTATAAAACTGATGAACAAAATCAAGGTATGAATAAATGAAGAAGTATTCCATTCATGGACAGGAGGATTCAATATTGTCAAAATGTCAGTTCTTTCCAATGTGATCTACAAATTGAAAGCAATTCCAATCAAAATCTCAGCAAGTTTTCTTAATGAATATTTACAAACCAATCCTAAAGTTTATATGAAAAGGCAAAAAGCCCAGAATAATCAACACAATATTGAAGAACAAAGTTGGAGCACTGCCACTATGCAACTTCAAGACTTACTATAAAGTGATAGCATTCAAGACAGCATGGTATTGGTAAGGGAATAGGAGGAAAAGAAGCAAAAGCAATACAATGGGAAGAAGACAGTCCCTTCAATAACTAGACATCCACATGCAAAAACAATGAATTTAAAGACAGATTTTATACATTTTTCACAAAAATGAACTCAAAATGGATTACAAACCTAAATGTAACATAAACTGCAAAACTATAAAATTCTAGAATATAACATTGCAGGAAATAGATGACCTTAGGTATGGTGATGACTTTTCAGCCACAACATCAAAGTTACAATCTATGAAAGAAATAATTGATAATGTACATTAAGATTAAAAACTTCTGCTCTGTGAAAGACAATATCAAATAATTAGATAAGCCACAGACTGAGAAAACATACCTACAAAAGACAGGTGATAAAGGACTGCTATCCAAAATATACAAATTCTTAAAACTTAAGAAAACAAACAACCCAATTTAATAAATAAGCCAAAGACATATCTCACCAAAGAGGGTACCAGCTGTCAAGTAAGAATATGAAAAAATACACCACATTATGTGTCATTTGAGAAATGCTAATTAAAATAACAATGAGATACTACCACATACCTATTAAAGTGGCCAAAATCTGGAACACGGACAACCGCAAATGCTGACAAGGATGTGGAGCAATAGGAACTCTCATTCACTGCCACAGGGAATGCAAAATGGTACAGCCACTTTGGAAAATAGTTTGGCAGTTTCTTACAAAACTCAGTATATTCTTACCATCAATCCATCCAACATGCTCTTTGGTATTTATTCAGAGGAGTTGAAAATTTATTACCACACAAAAACCTGCACATAGATTATAGCAGCTTTATTCATAAATGCCCGAATTTGGAAGCAATCAAGATGACCTACAGTAGGTGGATGCATAAATTGTGGTACATCCATATCCATACAATGGAATATTACTAGGTGCTGAAAAGACCTAGAGGAATCTTTTCAAAGCGAAAGAAACTTATCTGAAAAGGCTACATACTGTGCAACTCCAACTATATGATGTTCTGGAAAAGGCAAAACTATTGAGGCAATTAGCAGTTCAGTGGTTGTAAGGGATTAGCAGTTCAGGGGTGGGAGAGGGATGAATAGGAGGAGCCCAAAGAATTTTCAGGGCAATGAAAATACTCTGTATAATATTATTATAATGGATCCTTGTCATTAACATTTGTCCAAACCTATAGAATGTATACCAACAAAAGCGAACTGTAATGTAAAACTATGGACTTTGGGTGATTGTTATGGTGTGTCAATGTAGGTTCATTAGTTTTAACAAATGTACCAATCTGGTAGGGGACGTTGATAATGGGGAATACTATGTATATGTTGGGGCAGGAGCTAGATGGGAAATCTCTACACCTTCCCCTCAACTTTGCTGTGGACCTAAAACTGATCTTAAAAGGTCTTCAAAAAAAAAAAAAAAAATGTCTATTGAAATCTAAAAAAAAAAAAGCGAGAGGGCAGCCCCGGTGGCGCAGCGATTTAGCGCCGCCTGCAGCCCGGGGTGTGATCCTGGAAACTCAGAATCGAGTCCCACTTCCGGCTTCTTGCAGGGAGCCTGCTTCTCCCTCTGCCTGTGTCTCTGCCTCTCTCTTCACTTTCTCTGAATGAATAAATAAATAAATCTTAACAAAAAAAAAAAAAAGCGAGAGAGAGAGAGAGAGAGAGAGAGAGAGAGAATACTAGATTGAGTCCCAAAGACTCTAAGACTACATTTGTAATTTGTCAATTACCAAGCAAATTACAGTGAGGGTATGCCCTATACATCTTATACCACAGAAGCTAGCACGATACTCTAAACACTATGCAATAGATATTATGAAGAATCAAAGAGAGAATTAAAAAAACAAAGTGTAGCCCTAAAACTCTGGACTGCATCAGTGCCATAAAGCAATTAGGAAATCTATTTTAGAATTCAAACCCTTTGGAATTCTCTTCTTGAAATTCATTTACTAAGATCTAGTCTTGTACCTTCCCTTAATTTTTTAAAATATTTTATTTATTTATTCATGAGACACACAGAGAGAGAGAAGCAGAGACATAGGCAGAGGGAGAAGGCTCCATGCAGAGAGCCTGATGTGGGACTTGATCCTAGGACTCCAGGATCATGCCCTGAGCTGAAGGCAGATGCTCAACCGCTGAGCCACTGAGGCATCCCTTCAATTTTTATTAAGAATTTTGCACCGGGGATCCCTGGGTGGCGCAGCGGTTTGGCACCTGCCTTTGGCCCGGGGCGCGATCCTGGAGACCCGGGATCGAATCCCACGTCGGGTTCCCGGTGCATGGAGCCTGCTTCTCCCTCTGCCTGTGTCTCTGCCTCTCTCTCTCTCTCTCTCTGTGACTATCATAAATAAATAAAAATTAAAAAAAAGAAATTAAAAAAAAATTTGCACCGTATCACCAGTACATTTGCTTGAAGAAAATAATTACAATTTCTACATTTTAGTGTCATTTTATGCTACAAAGCTTTATTTACATAGTTCTTCAGAATGTATTTCAGTTGTTCGCCCACTATTCTGAGTATGAGATGGTATCAAATAGAGTAGATTTACAGGAAAGCATAAAAGAGAGAAAACAATTCTACAACTTTATACAGTACCATTAGTGGTTATTATTTTTACAGTTTTCTTTTGAGGATAATCTACTGAATTTTTCTGCCATTGACATTTCAGTGAAGTTGTCTTTAAGAGCAGATTTCCACAGAGAATAAAGAGTATATACAATTCAATATGTTTTACAGGTGATATTTGACAGTTTAGGAGTAGCTGTGAATTATTTTTTCTCCCACTTGTTTTCAAAAGTCTTGGATGATGAAGATGAATCATGACTTTCACCACTACTATAGCGGTCATATAAAGTCTGAAATGAAAAACACACACTTGTTTTTCCAACTTCTAAAATTCAATGTATTATCAGATGAATAAAGATAACTACATATATTCTAATATGTAATGAATGTCTCTTGTTCTTATAACTAGAAAATTACTTTACAAACTATTGAAGATAATAAGAATTGTAAACACCTAGCTTGGCCTAAATATTCACTATCATGAGATACAACTCAATAATTCTGTAAAAGAAATGTAACAGGCATTTATAAGCATATATATGCATTTTTTTTAAGATTTTATTTATTTATTTGACAGAGCACAAGCAGGCAGAGGGAGAGGAAGAAACAGGTTGAGCAGGGAGCCCAAAATGGGGCTTGATCTCAGGACCCTGGGATCATGACCTGAGCCAAAGGCAGATACTCAAGCAACTGAGCCACCCAGGCACTCCCATATATATGTATTTTAAAGGCCTTCTTGCTCTCCTTTATTTTTTCTTAAATAAAGCAAGTCTTACATAACTTGCTACACTGTAAAATAAACTCATCAGGAAATAGTTTCAGATATTTCAACTAATAAACAGATGACATTAAAAAAATATAAGTTATGGGCAGCCCTGTTGGCTCAGCAGTTTAGTGCCGCCTTCAGCCCAGGGCCTGATCCTGGAGACCCAGGATCGAGTCCCACGTCAGGTCCCTGCCTGGAGCCTGCTTCTCCCCCTGTCTGTGTCTCTGCCTCTCTCTCTCTCTCTCTCATGAATAAATAAATAAAATCTTTAGAAAAATACAAGTTATATAAATAAACATAATTAGCTATATTAACATCTACATATTGTAAAGGATTTAAGGTTAAGCCAACATCTAATTTATAAAGATAACAGATATCTCTACCATGAAGGAACACATAACCTTAGAAGTAAAGGCAACTAATTCATCTCAATTTTATTCATAAAAGGCTCTAAATAATACACTGGGGGGAAATTAAAACATGGAGATATGAAATATAGAGTAAAATTATAAAACAAATTTTATTCAATTTGAATTCCTAAAACCACTGATTTAACCATAAGTAAGAAAAAAATTTACTTTATATCATGAATGCGAATATAATAGTGAATGTATAATAAATTCCTCCAGAAATGTGTCCAAGTTCTTAACATCTTAGAGTAGTTTTATCCTACCCAGAGAGTTAAGAGTGTTTTTAATTTAAGCTCCCATATTTTATAATAGCATTATTACTGAAATTAATTAGTAACTGCTTGGTAACTCAACCAGTTGGTTAATAAGCATACACAGGGTTCTAGAATGACTAGGGTTTTGATGGCAACGAGATCCAAATATGGTGGTATAGACATAAACACTGGAAGGCTGAAAGGTCCAAGACCTCTGCTTTGAGAAATGTTCTGACTGTGGTACATAGCTTCAAGTCATTGCCTGTAAACAAATACCGAGATTTCTCCTAGATGGCTTCTGGAAAAAAAAGATGGCTAGAAGAAATGAATGCAAAAGCTGTGTTAAGGGACACCTGGGTGGCTCAGCACTTGAGTGCCTGCCTTTGGCCTAGGGTGTGATTCTGGAGTCCTGGGATCGAGTCCCACATTAGGCTCCCTACATGGAGCCTGCCTCTCCCTCTGCCTTTGTCCCTACGCCTCTCTGTCTCTCTCATGAATACATAAATTAAAAAAAAAAGAAAAGAAAGCTGTTTTAAGAATGTTGTTGATTTATGGGACACCTGGGTGACTCAGTGGTTGAGCATCTGCTCAGGGCATGATCCTGGGATCCTGAGATGGAGTCCCGCATCAGGCTTCCTGCATAGAGTCTGTTTCTCCCTCTGCCTGTGTGTGTGTGTCTCTCATGAATGAATAAATAAAATCTTTTAAAAAAAAATGTTGCTGATTTAAACGACAAATTCCTTATGAAATTTATTCCAATTGAGACCTGACAGCAATCTTACAATTGCACCTTATATGACAATATACTTTCAATTGTGCTATCTGCGGAACAAGAATGTAAAAGTCTGTATTTGTCAAAAAGCATACATTAAGAATCTAAATGTAGAAATATACTTCATATTTAATCTGATGACTGGAACAACTTTTCTTTGGATTACCTGTTTAAGTGTCTTATTCACTAAACTACAAAACCATTAAAAGTAATGTAGATAGACATTCTTACTTTAGCAGCTTTCAAAATGGAGTTAGGAGAATTCAGACCAACAAGTTGGCCCAGAACATATTTCATTTCTTCAGTGGTACCCTTAACCATCTGGTTACCTGTAAAAATATATAATCATTAACATGCTGTAACTAATAAAAAATACAAAATCACATGCAAATACATTCTGTTTAACAACACAATAACTGGCATCTTGTAATTTATCACTGATCATAGCTACTTACCTAGGGTAAGTAAAAATGCCAGCACATTAAAAAAAAAATTTAATTTATTTTAGTATTTTAGCATAAAAGGAACTTCCTTAAGGAAAGAGGAATGCTGGAAGAGTAGCCAATTCATGTTCCATTTTTTGTTATAGCTATAAGTCTGTTATTATTAGTAACTACTAATAAGTTGATTTTCAAAGAAGTACCTGGATGAGTTTGAATTTGAACATATGGATGCACCAGAAGGTCAGGAATGGATATCCTCTGTTTAGGGTCCCTTATTAAGCAACACTACAAAAATAAGGATTCATTTTTTTTAAATCAAGTTTTCTTATGTAATATCAATATAAAGTATCTTTCAAGATTGTATTGTACTATAGTAGTTGCTTTCCAGATAGTCTACTCAGAAACAAGATTTTATAAGTTCTTTTTGCAAAATCCCCAAGTATTCATAACTCTTAAAACATCTTCAAAGTGAACTTAACATGACTTAAAAATCTAATTCATTCAGCAATTCCTTTCAATAGACCATATATATCTATCTAAGCCAGTCACATAAGTCCAGTAATTTCAACTATTTACTCTAAGCAAACAATTTAAGTATTTGAAATATTATTCTTCTGTATCCATATACTACTAATGTTACCTTTAACACATCTTGAAGATCCTTCTCTGGAATATCAGGAAATTCAATTTCATGATTAGGGTCAATTATGGCATGTAATTTAGAAATCTGGTTAATTATATGCTGAAATGGTGTCTTCCCATAAGTCATATAGTACAAAATGCATCCTAAGGACCAAACGTCACTTTTAGGACTTATCTAATTAGGGGAGGAAAAAAAAGAAAGGTAAATTGCTGTAATTATTTACTTATTTATTTGAAAGAGAATGAGCTGGGGTCAGGGGGACAGAAGGAGAGGGAGAGGGAGAGTGAGAAGCAGGCTCCCCAGAGCAGGGAGCCTGATAAGAGGCTCAATCCTAGGACCCCAAGATTATGACATGAGCCAAAGGCAGATGCTTAACTGACTGAGCTACCCAGGCACCCCAAATAACTGTAATTTTAACATACAATTAAATGTAAGAATATTTTATACACAGATATGTACACATACATTCCTTAACACTTAAAATTATAACTTAACCTCAATTAATGGGCAAGCACTAGATTCAGTTTACATGAAAAAACATTGTTTTATAGTTTTTGTTATACTTGGTTATTTTATCAAGAGATGAGCTGTAAGTCTCTCAACAAACTCATAATTAAAATATTTGAACTGAAACATGTTTTGTTCCTGTCAGCTTATGAAAATATAAAAGACTAAAAAACAACTGCAAGTTTTAAATTTACTTGTTTTCTCCAAAACTATTGAATTATAATAAATATATTTTAAGATTTTATTTACTTGAGAGAACATGGGCTGGATAGCTGAGGGAGGAGCAGAGGGAGGGAGGGAGAGAGACAGAGAGAGAATATGAATCCCAAGCAGATTCTGCTGAGCACAGAGCCCAAAGATGGGCCTGATCTCATGACCCTGAGATCATGACCTGAGCCGAAATCAAGAGTTGGATGCTTAACCTACTGAGCCACCAGACACCCCAGGATTATGATAAATTTTTATGTAAACTCATAACATATAAGTATGCATAGATTTTAAAAAGGTTAAATTGAGCTATCCTAAACCCAAGAACACAAACTATAGAATCAGGCTGGGCTGGATTTGAATCCTGGCCTTATTACTAGCTAGTAATTCTATGCAGCTTCACTTCCTCTTCTCTAAAATAGAAAATAATAAAAGTACATTGTCATGGGGATTAAATGATATAACCATGAGATACAGATAAGCATAGAGAGTAATTTCTGGGTATAATAAGAAAACAAGAAATGCTACTTATTATTTAAGTGCTCTTTGCATCAAATAATCTCATTAGAAATAATGTAATATTATTATATAATTATCATTTTGACTTGGAAATGAACATGAATAAGACAAAACATAGCAGTGGGCATAATATATTTAAATTCTTCTTTAAAAGGTAGATATTAGGGGATCCCTGGGTAGCTCAACGGTTTGGCATCTGCCTTTGGCCCAGAGTGTGATCCTGGAGTCCAGGGATTGAGTCCCACATCGGGTTCCCTGCATGGAGCCTGCTTCTTTCCCTCTCTGTTTGTGTCTCTGCTTCTCTCTTTCTGTGTCTCTCATGAAGAAATAAATAAAATCTTTAAAAAATAAAAATAAAAGGTAGATACTAAACATATTATTAAAACAAAATAAAGAGGCACTAGCGTGGTTCAGTTAACCAAATAAGGAAAAAGAAATGGCACATATAACTTCAAAACAAAACAAAACCAGAGAGAGAAAGAAAGAATAGGAATGTTAATATTAGAAAAAGAGAACAAAAAAAAAATGCTTTTAACAGAAGAGGGAAAGCCATTTTATAATAAAAAAGGCACAACCAACCAAGAAGAGATGATACTCACAAACTCCTATGCACTGAAACTACATTTAATACAACTATATTAAGTAAGAACTATATCAAATTCTTTTGGGGGAAATGGTAAAAAGATTCTAACATGCCTTTTAGAAAATGGCAGATAAAACAGATCCACTATCTTAACACAAAGAAAACTAAAAAATCAAAATAATAATTTAAAAACCCTCTTCTTCCTCCAACTTAAAAATCTGGAAATATCCATCTCTAAATAAATCATGGATTAAAAAGGATTTCAAGGGCCGCCTGGGTGGCTTCACAGTTGAGCCTCTGCCTTTGGCTCAGGGTGTGATCCTGGAGTGCTGGGATCTGGAATCCCACATCTGGTTCTCTGCGGGGAGCCTACCTCTCCCTCTGCCCATGTCTACCTCTCTCTCTGTCTCTCATGAATAAAGAAATAAAATCTTTAATGAAAAAAAAAAACAGGATTTCAGATTTTGGAAAAATGGGAGGGGCAGGAGAGTGAGAAGTAGGCTCCCTGCTGAGAAGGGAGCCCAAGGCAGGACTTGATCCCAGGACCCAGAGGATGACCTGAGCCAAATGCAGACACTTAACCATCTGAGCCACCCAGGTGCCCTTGTTTATTTTTTTAATTGAAATATAGTTGACACACAAGGTTACATTAGTTTCAGGTGTACAATATAGTGATTTGACAACTCAATACACTATTCTATGCTCATCACAAGTGTGGCTACCACCTGTCATCACACAACTCTGTTACAATGCCACAGACTCTATTCTCAATGCTGTGCCTTTCATCCCCTGACTTATTTATTCCGTAACTGGAGGCCTGTACCTCCCACTCCCCTTCACCCATTTTGCCCAATCTCTTACCCCCCTCCCTCTGGCAACCATCATTGTTCTCTGTATGCGTGAGTCTGTTTCTGCTGTTTATTTGTTTGCTTTTGAGATTGCAGCATAGTTTTTCAATCTGTCCAAATCCCCAGATAAGATGGACAGAAAAGCCTGGTAGCAAAACTATATATACATAGAGAAAACATTTATAACAAAACTAAGTAAAAAACCATACCCATGAACCCCAGAATAAGAATGGGGACAAACTACCACAGCCAAAAATCCTGTAGAGTCATTTGGAAAATAAAGCAGGGGAGAATAGTGAATGTGCCTGATTTTCAGAACAGAAACTCCAAATAGCCAACAAATGTTCATTGGAGAATAATTTGGAAACAGAGCTAGACTGGGAGGGGTTTGAACTCTTTATCAGCAGAGATTACTTCATGTGTTGGGATAAAAAATTTGCTTTCTATTCAGAATCATTAAGGCCACTGGATAGCAGGTGTTTCAAATGAATGGCAATTTACCCACAATATTAAAGCACTGAGTTGACAACTGAAAAAAATCTGAACTCGCAATTCAAAATAAATCTTATTAAAAAAATAAATAAAAATAAATAAATAAATCTTATTTTTTAAAAAATATATTATTTCAAAGTATTTTAAAACTGAAATTGCAAATTTTAGAAATTAATGAAAATAAGAAACACCACAAAAAAGGTATAAATAGAAGTTAAAGTAAAAACTCACACAATTCAGTTTTAATGTTTTAATTAATAAGAATATAAAAATTAAGTTAGCAATTATTTAAATCCAAAAACTAGGAAAAAAAGAAACCTGAAGGAAATAAAAATAATAAATAGCAGAAACTAATTACAGAGCAAATGAAAATAGAATGAAGGCTTTGTTCTCTAAAATGAACAAAACCTTAATAAGTCTAATGAAAAAGAAAAGACAGATAACAAATCTAAGTATTAAAAGAAAAGCGGAAGCTAAAGAGTTATAAAAAGAATTTCATAAGCGAAATTATTTGACATAATGTTATACCACTTATTTGAGAAAATATTTAGAAGCCAGTTTTTTTAGGAAGGAAAATATAATTAGTAAATACACATTTATCAAGCTAGACTTTGAGCTAGACGATGTTTTGATTTATATTTTTTCCCATTTAATCAATTACTTTTTATTTTTTTAAAGATTTATTTATTATGAGAGAGAGTGCATGCAAGTGGGAGGAGGGGAGGAGAGGCAGAAGGAGAGAAAAAGAGAGAGAAGCAGGTTCCCTGCGAGAATGTGCAGAGCCTGACGTGGGGCTCAAATCTCATGATCCTGAGATAAAGGACCTAAATTAAAATCAAGAGTCAGACACTTAGGTGACTAAGCCACCCAGGCGCCCCTCTATTGCTTGCAGGTCCCTGGACAACAATGTGTGCTTGTGCACACTTGGTGACACTGCTACAGAGCAAGAAGGACTAGCTCGGGAGCCAGAGGCATCCTGGCAGGCAAAAGGAACTCAACGAGGGACACCAGTGAAGCTAACACAAAGCTCACTGAGCTGGTGAAATAAGGTAAGTGGGAAAGTAGCCTGTGGCCGGCTGGGAAAAAATTACATACTAGAATTGTACTTGGAAATGAAGAATTCACAAATGAATAAATGGTAAGAGATAAAATGTAAGAATCAAAGAGGAAACAAGACTTATCAATTATCAATTCAATGCCATTTAAGGGGTCCAAATCAGAGCTAATTTAGTCTAAATTTCTAGCATTAATTTTAAAATTTAAAAATATCCTAGAAACATTTCTCATTGGAGCACACTGTTGAGACATCACCATATAAAAGAACAGTCTCAAATCAATAAACAATAGTGAAGTTGAATTCCATGACAATTTGCTTAAGAAAGCAAGGTCTCTATAATGGCCTAAAAAGTTTTAGAACTTAAGCAACTTTGAGTTAGCTGTTAAGTTTAATCAGAGAATAGTCCATTCCTTACTGATGCCAGCTAAATGGGATGTAAATAACCTTCATAGTACCTTTGACTTGGATTTTCCATTCTCTCTTGAGGAAGACATATCTTTGATTGCTTCTGGTGGCATATAATTAACTGTACCAACCTGTATGCCAAATCACAGAAAACACAAATCAATGAAAATACTTCATTCTGCTTTAGCTTTTTTAAAACACAAATGTCAGGTTCTTGGAAACTTGAATAATTACATATTGTAGTAATATTTTTTAAAAACTCAAGTAACTGACAACAATATTAGGACATAAATTTCTTCACAACTCCAGCAAAGTAAATTGGATTCATAATCAGGAAAGTTATTCCTTTCAGAATGCTCAGCTTTTTCTAAGATGATGGCGAACAACGACCATAAAACTATCGAGGCTAAAATTATATTAATAGCCATAAACTTTGAAGGAATTGATATCAATTATTCATTTCTGCGGTGGAATAGACCTAGAATGCTTTTTTTAAAAAATCAACCAACCAACCAATCAAAACTCTAGCTATGTCTCCAAGTATTCCCTGGGCCCATGTCCAGAGTGAGATGGGGTGGGTATGTAAATCATGCAAAAGCTTCCACAGTCAGATTATGCCAATCTTACAAAGCATTTATTTTATTCTAAAACAAATGGTTCTGTTTTCAAACACAGAATACCTGTACTTTAGGATCCTGCCATAGAGGATACCTTCAAGTTGATTTACAGCCAAATGTTCAACCGTTATCTTATTTTTTTTAAAGATTGATTTATTTATTTTAGAGAGTGTGGGCACACAAGGACGTGAGTGGGGGAAGGGCAGAGGGAGAGCAGCAGACTTCCCACTGAGCAGGGAGCCTGATCTGGGGCTCCATCCCATGACCCTGAGATCATAACCTGAGCTGAAGTCAGACGTTCAACTGACCAAGCCACCCAGGAGCCCAAATGTTCAGCAGCATTTTTGATATAACGAGAAGTCACTGTCAAATAGAAATGTTTCAAGGGCATGTTGTCCACCTATTTCTCCTAAAAAAGGTCTAGTTTTATGTCTAGGATTACGGCAGATCTACACCAGAAATCTGCATATGTGGAACACATCATCTTGGCTCCAAGCAAAATTCTTTTTACTAATTCTTTGGTGTCATCACCTTGGTTTTTATGGGAATAAATTTATTAAGTTTGTAACTGCATATCCTTTTAGAAGAATGCAGTTGAGTATAGTATTCATTATGATGTTTGAAGGCCCACTTAAAATTTTTTTCAGGGGCACATGAGTGGCTCAGTCAGTTAAACGGCTGTCTCTTGATTTTGGCTCAGGTCATGATCTCAGGGTCCTGGGATCAAGCCACACCTTGGGCTCCTCACTCAGTGGGGAATCTGCTTGATGATTCTCTTCTTCTCCCTCTGCCCCTCTCCTGATTTGTGCATGCTCTCCTGCACACTCTCTCTGTAAAATAAATACATCTTTAAAAAAAAAAAAAAAACTGAAGTTATTGAAAAAAAGAATTTTTTTTAAATGTAAGTGATAGGAAAAGCTTTACTTTTTCAGAAGAATGAAATAATCTTACTTCATGGACAATGAAAAACAAGTAACTGCAATTTCCTCGTTGGTTGCTACCAGGAATCTCTGAGAATAAGTTTCAGGTGAATTCAAGATCATGGGCAAGATGATCTCCAAGACAGGTATTACTGCTTCTCTACCTCAGCTACAGGAAAATCTTTCAAAATTGCTGGATTTATTTCTACCTGATCTTGACTTTCTATACTACAGTGTTTTATACACTTTAAATATGGTTTTAATTCTTAAAATATTTAATCTTTTAAGATTTTATGTACTTATTCATGAGAGATAAAGAGAAAGAGGCAGAGATACAGGCAGAGGGAGAAGCAGACTCCACGCAGGGAGCCCGATGTGGGACTTGACCCCGGGACTCCAGGATCATGCCTTGGGCCGAAGGCAGACACTAAACTGCTGAGCCACCCAGGGATCCCAAAATATTTATTCTTATAAAAAGGGTTCAAATTCTTTGAAGAATGTGAATGGAAAAAATAAAATCCCTATTAGCAAAAGACTTTACAGGAATTGAACTGCAATGTGTGGTAACCAACCATTCATTAAGTCTTACCTGAGAATCTTTAACAATACTTGTTGTATCTGGTTGCATTTGGTTTGCAATTCCAAAGTCAATTAGTTTTAGCATTCCATCAACTATCAGAAAGTTAGCAGGTTTCAGATCACTATGAACAATGCCTTCAAAATAAAAATCCACTGCAATATTAGACAATATAAAGCATTCTAAGTACAAAAATATTTCATAATCTACCAGTAGAGTTGACTCCTTTAGTCAATCAAATAAAATGCTCATTTTTAATATTTTCTAAAAAATAGAGCACTGCTATGTGCCAGACACTATTCTAAGTTTGCTGTTTATATTGACTCACTTAATCTTCATACCAGCATGGAGTTAAGTATTATTATTATCCCCACTTTTTTTTTTAAATATTTTATTTACTTTTATTTATTCATGAAAGACACAGAGAGAGAGAGAGAGGCAGAGACACAGACAGAGGGAGAAGCAGGCTCCATACAGGGAGCCTGACATGGGACTTGATCCCAGGACTCCAGGATCACGTCCTGGGCCAAAGGCAGGCGCTAAACCACTGAGCCACCCAGGGATCCCCTATTATCCCCACTTTTAAGAGGAAATTAAGGCAAAGAGTTTAAGTAACTTGTTCAAGATCATACAGCCTAAAGTGACAAGGCCATAACCTGATCCAGGCAGTCTGGCTTGAGTTTATGATCATACCACTATGATTCACCACCCACTAGATAACATCATAAATTATACTGCCGGGTGGTAAGACCCTAATGCTCCTGTCTCCTCTATCCCTACAACCCTAATCTTAATCACTAGTGAATTATCCTTTAACTTATAGAGAGACATGAGGGAAAGAATTATAATTATCTAGGTTAACAGTTATTTTTTAAAAAGGAAAAGGTAAAGGCAGAGAAGTCCTAAAAAGAACCATGTCCAACTAAAGTGAAAAAAACAACTTAAGGGCTAACAATTGAAAAAATAAAACCAACTCCCACACAAGGCACACAATACAAAATGACTAGAATGAGAGAAATAAAAATCTCAGATTTTTGGGATGCCTGAACCCTACAGTCTCAGATCTGCTATAAGTGAACTACATGGAGACCCAGGATAATGGACTATGTTAATACTAATAAAGATATGGGTACATTTTGTATTATGCATGCATTATGGATGTAGGGACTTGAGCTCATGCACGATATCCTTTGGTAAATAGTGCTTTAAAGAAATGGTTTTTTGTCCCTTCATCTTCAAATGAGCTTCCAAATATTTAGTTTATCTAGTCTAAAGGTGCTAATAACAAATATCTAAAAATTATAGGTATATTTCTCTGATAACATTATTAATGATTAGTATAACTCTGCATATAAAGAGATTTTAAAATACCATGTTGATGAATTGTATAAACTGCCTCCAACATATTTTTCCAGTAACTTTTGCGTTCCCATGGATTGATGGATTTTTTCTTTTTAAGCCAACTATTTAGGTCTATATTTCCACACTCCATTACCATATAAATGTACTGGTCCGAGATTTCACTGCCATTAAAAACAAACAAACAAAAAAACCCAAAACAATACATGGTTAGGTTATACTATTAAGATGTACTAAGTCTAAAGAGTTACAGCAAAAATATTTTTCGTTTCAAATTAAAAAAAATTCTTACTAATCATAAAGTCGGATGATCTTATCACTGTGTTGTTGTAGTTTATTCAAATAAGCAATTTCATTCCGGTAACTCTCAATTGTTTGATTATCTGCTTCTTCTAAGTTTACATACTTTATGGCATGTATCTGTTTCTTTTCATTTAATACCTGGAATACCTATATATTAGAACAAAGGAAAAAGTTTAGAATGTACTACTTTCATATTATCATAATAATTCTAAATTTATTAAATTTTAAGTTAAGGAATACTAATATGAATAATTAAACATGTCTGGGCTTATTTTTGAGTACTAAAGGGAAAATATGTTAAGAGAGTTAACAGACCATTCTCAGCTATCTATGACAATGAGTATTCAATAATGCAAAGGGATAAACCTAAGAAGTTTTTATATTAACATGTAAGATATAGAATTTAAATTTCATATATATATTTATAACACTATTGGATGCCTTAACCAGGAAAATAACCTAAAGAAGACGTTCAAAATGTTAAGAACATCAAAAGGATGTCATAAAGAGTTAATTCATTTAACAGATGATGTTTCTTCCTTTGTGCCTGGAACTAACATTTTATTCATGCGGTAGGGAATATTTAAAAATATGTAATAATTGTAAGCTATCTGTATATTCAGTTGTGAAAAGTGGAGTAGTTCCAATTTGTAACATCAAGTTGACAAGAACAAGATGTTCCTATAAGCCCATTGTCAGGATCTCTGAGGTCCAGGTCAAACTGCTCTGGCTATAGTGGTAGTCAATTTCTAAGCAATACTAATGGGACAGATAATACATTGTGAAAAGTAGAAAACACTGTTAATGTGTCCGACCTTCAGAAAACATGCAATAGGGATGACACTTCTGAACTGCATGAACACAAATATGAATGAATGCCAGGGTAAGCAAGAAAAATTATATTCATTTATCCCTTTAGACACACTGAAGTAAAATATTATTTATTCAAAAGCCATTTAACCTTGACTTTGACTACCCGGCAGGTCAGGGCAAGAAATAAGAAAAGAACAGAAATGTACATAAGATTTGTGCAATGCAGATGCATTAATAAGCTTAGATATTTAAAATTCTAAATTCAAAACTCTAACAAAGTATTACTGGTTTTACCTGCATACATAGCAAATTAGACAAGGGATGGACCTTAAAACAGTGATAGGGCAAGAGACAGCAGAAAATAGCAAGGGAAGAGATTAAAGGAATTTTAAAACATATAAAGCCACTTTATATAAGGTAAATAGCTTTACAAACCTCAGAGAATTGAGAGTATCTACTACTCTATGACATTTAAAATTTTGTTAATAGTACCTACCACATAAAGTTGGAAGGATGACCAAGATGATGTGTTCAGAATACAGGAAAGTTAGCTATTATCATTAAGGACAATTAGTACAGAATAAAGTGGACATTTTAGAACCTATTAAAGTTGTTGGGTGTATTAGAAAAAAGATTTGCAGGATATTAAAACTATGTAAGTTCTCAAAGTTTTGGAGGAAATGAAAACTTTTAAATCAACTTTTTGCACATATATACTTTCACTCCCCTATTGCCCCTGCTCAGGCAAAACTCTTGCAATAACTGATGATTAGGTAGTCCTTATTTTCATTTCATAGAAATAGTTATCAGTTATAATTTTCAGTTTCATGGAAAGTTAATGAAAGAATGAAAGGCCAGTGTCATGACCATTCCTATTAGTCCCCATGACCTTTCCAAATGCTCTTAATACAACAGTATAAGTTGGTCACTCTCTAAACTCTAGAGCATAAACAGTTAGTTTCATAATGCATGTTACCTTCTTTCCCTGAAGTATTTTGATTTTGTCAACTCTACCATGATAATTAAATAATGATAATGTAACCACACTAAAAAAACCATAGACCAGTCACAGCTTTATCACTTGGCCCTTGACTTAAGCTAACATCTTCATTATGCTCCAAGGAAAAAATGTTTAAAACATCAGCAAGGGGGATCCCTGGGTGGCTCAGTGGTTTAGCACCTGCCTTTGGCCCAGGGCGCGATCCTGGAGTCCCAGGATCGAGTCCCGCATCGGGCTCCCAGCATGGAGCCTGCTTCTCCCTCTGCCTGTGTCTCTGCCTTTCTCTCTCTCTCTCTCTCTCTATCATGAATAAATAAATAAAATCTTTAAAAAAATAAAAAAATAAAACATCAGCAAGATTATTTTACATCCTCTGATAACATGCCACTAAATATTGCACCTTGACATTATTCAAATATAGCTAAAGAAATAATAAATATTAACCAAAGAATTTCTAGTAAAGCTACTAAATCAGATATTTCAAATATATTGATAAAAATCAATTGTATTGTTCCTTTGTTCTCATGCCTGAAATTTGAGGCAACAGAAAGAAGAAAACTTATACAAAAAAGAAACTAATATTATTGAACAGTTGCTACAGAGGTTAATTTACATGCCTTATTTATCGTAAGTTAATAAGACAGTCTTAAATCTAGTTATTGTTAGCTGGCTTAGAAAATAACAGTAAAACTTAAACCCAACAGGTTTTGCTTCATATATCATTATCATCCTTAACTTATAATAGCAAAACAGCTGAGTGGGGACATTCCTTCAACAAAATAATTCACTGTTACATTATAGGCACTATTCCAGATTACGGAGCAAACATGATTGAGCAAATCAGACAAACATCTCTATCTTGATGGAACTCACATTCAAGTGCAGGAAGATACAAACAACAAACCAAACATATAAATTACAGAGCACACTAAAAAGATGAGCTACAGAGAAAAACACAGGAGGAAATGGAGCTCACCAGTGATTGGAAGGTAGGAGTTGTAGTACTAAAGACTGTGGTCAAGGAAAGCCTGTTTGAGAAGACATTTAAGCAAAGATATGAGGATATATGGAGGAAAACTGACCCTTTTGTGAAAATACACCAAGAGAACAAGGAGTGAATCAATGAAACTACCTAGAAGGCTATTATAATAAACCAGGTGAAAAGATGACAGATGCTTTGACCAAAGTGATACCAGTGGAGGTGGTGAGAAATAGTCAGGTGCTAGATATACTTTAAGGTAGAACCAGCAAAACTTGTTGATTTTTTTTTTAAGATTTTATTTATTTATTCATGAGAGACAGAGAGAGAGGCAGAGACATAGGCAGAGGGAGAAGCAGGCTCCATGAGAGGAGCCTGATGTGGGACTCAATCCTCGGACTCCAGGATCATGCCCAGAGCCGAAGGCAGGCACTTAACCGCTGAGCCACCCATGTGTTCCAAGATTTGCTTGACTGATTGGATGTATGTGTGAGAGAAAGTGAAGTCAATGATTCCAGAATTTTTGGCCTAGCTAATGGGAGGATGAAGTTGACATTTACTGAACTGGGAAAGACTTTGGAGCCAGAGTTATGTTTGGGACATTTTAAATTTTAAATACCTAGTAGACACTCAAGAAGAGATAACTGAGGAGTCAGACTGGATATACAAATCTGGAATTCAAGGGAGAGGTCTGAGCTAAATATATGTTTGGGAATTGTCAGCATATATATGATATTTAAAACCACGAGACTGGACAAACCTAAGGAGTAAAGTGAGTTTAGAAAGAGAAGAGGTCAAGGTCTGAGCTCTGGGACGCCATGGAGAAGACTGGAAAGGAATGGCCAGTTGGAGAAGAGGAAAACGGAGAGAGGCCAAGTGGGGAGAAAAAAACTTTCAACAAGGAAAGAACAATCAACTGCCCTAAATGCGGAGTAACCCACAATTAAAGCTAAGAACTGGATTTGGCAAAACATGGAGATTATTGGTAATCTTGATAACAATTGTTTTGGTGAATGATGAAGATAAAAATCTGATCTAAGTAGATTTAAGAGGACAGAATGAGAAGAACTGAAGATGGTAAGTATAGACAACTCTTCTGAGATGCCTTTTACTCAATGAAACAGAACCGTAAAAATTATCACTCAGATAAATTTAGGAAATGGTCTATTCCAATTCCAGAAATTCACATTACTATTGTTTTTGAAAAGAAAAACCCAAAAAACTCAAAATATTAGTCAAATATCTTGCTGAACCATCCTAAAATATTATTTACACAAGATTGTTTTGTGATAATCCACAGCTTCATTTGCCATCTCAAAGTCAATGTTAATATCATTTAGAGAAGAAATTTGGAGCACAGGACATCAGAGGAAGAACAGAGAACTGAAATGAAGAGATAGGCCTAAAGAGATATGTCATTTGTTGGACAGAGGGACTGGGAGCAGGGGATGAGAAGGATTTTTTTGGCTCAAAAACAAGGCAGGACCTTAAGTGTCAAGGAAAAAGAGCCCCAAAAGGTAAAAAAGAAAAGGAAGTTTAAAATATTTTTCTTACATATTTAAGATACTCACCTTACTTGAGCCTCCGCTTCCTATCTGCTTCAATATAGAATACATTCTTCCTTTAACTGAAATGCATTCATTTGTTGAGGATGCTGAAATCTAAGTAATTAAAAAATATAAAGATTCAAAGGTACAAAGAATATGCCTGAGAAATTATCCTGCATTTAGTACAGTGTGAAATGCTTCTAATTTTGATATTATCTTAAATTTTAAGTAATTAGATATTAGTCACAATTTAAGATTTATTTATTTATTTATAAGATTTATTTATTCATTTATTCACGATAGAGAGAGAGAGAGAGAGAGAGAGAGAGGCAGAGACACAGGCAGAGGGAGAAGCAGGCTCCATGCTGGGAGCCTGATGCGGGACTCAATCCTAGAACTCTAGGATCATGTCCTGAGCCAAAGGCAGATGCTTAACCACTGAGCCACCCAGACGTCCTTAGTCACAATATTTTAAAGACAAAGTTTACTCTATTTTAGTCAAAGAAATAAATTTATTAATATATATACTTCCAAGGTGTCCCCCTCTAACTTGCCTCTACTTTTTAAATTTTTATTTTTTTAAAAAATTTCATTTATTTATTTGACAGAGAGAGAGAGAAAGACACACAAGTAGGGGGAGGAGCAGAGGGAGGTTTCCTTCTGAACAGGGAGCCCAATACATGGGGTTCAATCGCATGACCTGAGATGAAGCCAGTTAACTGACTGAACCACCCAGGTGCACCTTATTTATGTTTTAAGATTTATTTATTTATTTATTTATTTATTTGAGAGAGAGGGATGGGGGAAGTGCAGAGGGAGAGCAAAATTCAAGCAGACTCTGTGTTTAACATGGAGGCCAACTAAAGGCTCAATTCCACGACCCAAAATCATCACCTGAGCTGAAACCAAGACTTGGACGCTCAACAACCCAGGTATCCCCTCCTACTTCTTTTTTAAGAATTTTTTAAAATTTAAGTATAGTTGACATACAATGTTACATTAGTTCACTCATATTTTTTAGAAACATAAATAAATAGAAGACTTAAGATCTCTTCTAATATCCAAACTCACAGGCTTATTACTTTTCACATTATTTTTTCTTACATAAACCTCTTAATTTACATATATAAACAATTATACTCTTTCTCATTTAGCATTACATTATAAAGAAAGCAGTGTTCTAAGATACTTATAGCTTCAGAGTCAATCAGATAAATGTGAATTTCAGCAATGCTCTCTTTTTGCTGGGTGATGTTCAACATGATAGTTGATTTGAACTTCAGCATCCACTTCAGCAAACTTCAGCAAACTTTCAGCTGATATCCTATTGCAACAAGTCCCCTCTTCTCTTCCCTTATGCTAGAGCTCTCTGTGAACATATGAATGCTTTGCTCGATGGAGCACAGTGAAAGGAATCATTTGAGACTGACAAGGAAACTGAAGACACAAAAAGCACCTTGCTAGCTCATTCACGAAGTTGAAACAAGGTCTGAATACATGTCAGTTTAACCAAGTCCTGCTTTAGATCCCAAATGGTAGAACTCTCTTGAAATCTCCTTTTCCATAACGTAAAAGATAAGGATTCTAATTTCTTTAACCTCTAGGGTAGAAAAACATTGCTGAGTCATGAAATAGGCTTTCTTTAAGCAAGTATTAGGCTTTGAAATATGTACCTCTTATTTTTCATTGTTAAAATTTCATCAAAGTTTTTCACCACCTGCTCCCATCCCTCATCATTTTGGAGGATCCTCTCATACTTAAACTTAAAATTCCTGAGAGGGGAGAAAGCAGTTCAATATCTCCTCCCTCTAACTGCTGACAGTTTTGAGGGTAAAGTACTTCTGACTTATTTGGTTCAATACCAATATGAAGCTCAGTTTCCTACATGGGTCATCCACATGCCCCTTAGCCAATCCTCCTCACTATGGCTAGAGTAATTTTTTTTCAAGATTTTTAAAATTGATTTATTCATGAGAGACAGAGAGAGAGAGGCAGAGACGTAGACAGAGGGAGAAGCAGAAGCAGGCTCTATGCAGGGAGCCCAATTTGGGACTCGATCCCGGGACTCCAGGATCACACCCTGAGCCAAAGGCAGACGCTCAACCACTGAGCCACTTTAGATCCCAAATGGTAGAACTCTCTCTTGAAATCTCCTTCTCCATAAGGAGAAGGCGTCCCCAGAGTAATTTTTTCAAAGTGCAAATAAGATCACTTCACTTCCCGGCTACCAACTGTAGCACAGCTTCTTATCCCTCTTGGGGTAAAATTTAAAGGGCCCAGCAGAGGGGCACCTGGGTGGCTCTGCTGGTTAAGCATCTGACTCTTGATCTCAGCTCAGGTCTTGATCTCAGGGTTGAGTTTTAGCCTCAGGCTGGGATCCACACTGGGTATGGAGCCTATCCACTTACATACATACATATATAAATAAATAAGCAAAAATAAAGGGCCCAGCAGAACCCTAAGATTCACCTCGCCTCTGCCTGAGCTCCAGTCACACTCTAGACCCTTTTCAGTTTCCTCCTGACACTGGACTTTTCTAGAAGGCTCCTGGCAACTCCACTTGGTCATGACTTGACTTGTAGAAATCAACTCAAACAGGGTCCTGACATGAGTAGTAACTCAATAAATGTGTTTTGAATCAGTATACATAGGCAAACTTGATCATCTTTCTCTCCTTTGTAATTTATTCTCTGAATAACACTATTCCTCTTTTCATAGTATAACCTATTGTCAGCTTTCTTGTACTTTTTTAAAATGATTTACTTATTTGAGAGAGTACGTGAGCAAGGGGAGAAGGGGAGAATGAAGGAGAGAAGCAGAATCCCCACTGAGCATGGAGCCCAATGCAGGATTGGATTTCAGGAACCTGAGATGATAACCTGAGCTGAAACCAAGAGTTGGAAGCTTAACGAAATGAGCCACCCAGGCGCCCCTTTTTTGTTCTTTTTTTAATTGCAAAATACACATAATAAAAATTTAGCATTTTAACCATTTTTAAGTATACCACTCAGTGGCAGCATTAAGTGCATTCACACTGTTGTGCAAACACTACCATCCATTATCTCATATTGAAACTCTACATCCATTAAACAGTAACTCTCCATTCCTGCCTCTCTCTAGATACTGATGACCATTGTTCTACCTTCTGCCAGCTAATTTTTTTTATCTCTTAATTTGTAATAGCTAATTACCTGTATGGGCTTTTTTAAATTAGTTTTTAGCTGTTTTATTTAAATAACAATTGCTACTAATTTTTATTATTTACTAAGTAACTGGCTCTTTCATAAAAGTTACATATATATTAATTTAATCTTCACAATTATCCTATAGGGTGGGTAGCTTTATTATTCCCATTTTATAGATGATGAAAGGGGTATGGAAAATTTAAGTAACTTACAAAAGATCACAGAGCTGGTTAAGTAGTGAGGTCAAGATTCATGGCCAGAAAGTCTCCCTTCAGAGTTCAGCTTTCTACCAGTTATTAAGATGCCTCTCAGATAGTTATTAGAAATTAATTTTAGTACTGATATCAGGAGAGTGTTTTTTTCTCTAGATAACAATACAATCACTTCACCAGGAAAAAATTTTTCTTTCATTTTTATAATTACTTTATATTTTAGTAGCATCTCATACTGCTATTCTGATATTCTTGAAAACTTACCTATAAATTAATCAGCCAATGAATGATGATGCTCAGTAATAGCAGACTTAAATAGTGAAGTGGAATAAAAAGTAACCTAAATTACAGAGAAATTTTGTCTAGCTATTCAAAGTGGATCTTTTGGCCTAGTTAATGAAAAAAACTTCATTAGCTTTTAATAATTAACCTCCTAAAGTCACAAGGTATTTTTATGAGACATTAGAAAAGTGTTTTGCCTCATTGAACTAGGAATGGACAAGTTCTTAAGATCATTCCTAACAACAAGATGCTGTGAAAATAAATCTTTACATTTGATCATACCTTAATCATATACCATCATAAATAAAGCTTATCAAACCTGTAAAGTTTGAAGTGGAGTAACAGGTATTTGCTGCTGTTGCTGCTGGAAATGTGCAAGCTGGCTGTAAGGTGTTGACAACTGACAAGCAGATGGAAAGTCATTCTTTACAACAGGAGTTCTAAAACTAGGAAGGATACAGTTTTAATTTAAAACATTAAAATTGTAAACAAGATTCTGATTTAGTTTTTGTATGATTTTAAAAGATGCACATAAACTTAAATGCATTACATCAAACAGAATCCAAGTCAGTTTTAGTAATATAGCTAGCTAAGCTAATTATTCTAAATACACCATCACCAAAAATTTCATTTGGTGGCAATTCTTTCTGAAAGTAATTTTTGTCCCTAGACAAAAAATCCTAACTAGTAAGATTAATAAGATGGCATTTAAAATATGGATTTGGGATTATTTTATAAGACTTTTGCCTTAGCCAAGGCAAACATTAGCCTAGGGCTAGTTGTAGAGCTTATGAGTGCTTTTTAACAATTATGTTCTACAATGGCCTGCTAGAAATATCTGAAAGAAAATTATATTAGAGGAGTTTGGCTTTTGAGCTTAAAGCTGTTGAATTCACATTTGTGCTTTGCTTGTCTTATTCACTATCACATCCTCAACACCTAGAATGGTGGTTGGCACAATGGAATTCTACAAATATTTGTAGATAATAAATAACCTGGCTTCACAAAAAAATACATCATGATTCTAGGGAGCAACCATTCTTTAAAATATTCCACATATATGGGATCCCTGGGTGGCGCAGCGGTTTAGCGCCTGCCTTTGGCCCAGGGCGCGATCCCGGAGACCCAGGATCGAATCCCACGTCGGGCTCCCGGTGTATGGAGCCTGCTTCTCCCTCTGCCTATGTCTCTGCCTCTCTCTCTCTCTCTCTCTCCGTGTGACTATCATAAATAAAAAAAAAAAAAATTAAAAAAAAATAAAATATTCCACGTATAAAATGAGGTAATATATAGCAATATATTAATATATTGTAATATATAACTGTATTAAATTGGTAGAGACCAGGTTATAAAACCTCTTTTATAAGGCCAGTTCTAATTAAGATCTAAGATCATTTACATTATGAAAATGAAAAGCAAAAGGCATCATGGACTTAAGGTATTCTCTAAGATATTAAAAATATAGCCAACTAGTTGAGTGATATAATGTACCACATTCCTTTATTGTCTTTCTTTGAAATGTCATTAATTTGGTTTTGCAATATCCTTATATTTCCTGTCAATCAGCATTGACCATCCACTTTCTTTACTCATCCCTTATTCCCACCCATTCAACTCATTTACTTTTGAACACTCCAGAACCATGTGACCTATACAACCAACTTCTTTCAGAAACTATCAGAAACATTTAATAACTCCTTTGCTATAAAATGTACCTACTACCCTTTATCAGTCTAAGAATGCTAACCTTTAAAATCTCTCAATTACAGAAAGATATCCATGTGGCAATGTATAATTATCAAGAAGTCTTACATATTTAGAGTACTTATAGACTGTAGGTATAGATTACAATATAATTAAGAGACTTTCAGAACAATCCTTAAATATGTATTGCAGCCATCTTCCCCTCCCTTTATACAGATGAAAAAACTAATGCTCAGAAAAATAACAGAAGTTTGGAAACTCCTTAAAGTAACAGAGCAGGATTCAACTACAGATCTATTTGGCCCTGAAGCCCATGTTATTTCTATTGTGCCAAACTAAACACCAAAAAGTAATTTTACCAGTTCATGTAATCATCCAAGGCACTGCTACTGGGTGTTTTACAAAGAGATTTTGGATCAATCCATTTAGGTGCTGATATTGGTGGTGACTGCTTTGAAACTGAAAAGGCAGGTTGCTCAAAAATGGGTTGTTTCTGCTAAACCAAAATTAAAAAAAAAAAAATCACAATTTAGAGTTTTTAGTCACCTATTCAATAATTTTACAAACATTATAATTTCTAACAGAAAAATATGAAATACACAAGCATGCTAAAATGAGTAAAATGTATGTATTCCAGACTTCCAAAAACTTATTATAGCTCTTTTACTCTAAATTCCAAAGCCTCTTATATTTTCCTCAGAGATTAAAAAGGGAGGGAAGACACAGTACTGTTTAACAAAACAGGATCTAAAGCCTCTGCCATGAGGGCTACTATAACCATTAGTGAACTTTTATAATCTAACTAAGTACTCTGTACTTCTGAACACTAGTCTTTCGTTAATCAATAATACCATAGTATATGGGAATGGGTAGCTGGGGTGAAATTAAGGAAATGGTCATGAGGGAGAAGAAGTAATAAATTTGAAGTAGATGGAAGTGATCCAAGGCTAGTGGGCTAGTATCTTTAAGGAATGTTGGGGAGTCACTAAGATGTTCAGAGATGACAGCAATGAGCAAGGAACAGGATGGTATATCCAGAAAGCAGGAGCCTCACAAAGTCAGGGCTTTGCAGAAGAAATGGTCTGGGCATAGCTACCAGGAGTTTCCAGATATAAGGTAAGTGATAAGTGAGACGAAAACACTCTACTTGAGAGGGCTGCTGGAGAAGCAGGGATTCTCAGGAAACCACCTGGTTTCTTTTTCTTCTTTTCCTAAGTGTGCTCTTCAGTGGTTTTTAATGTATTCACAAGAGTACACAATCATTAGCACTATTTAATTACAGAAGATTTTCATCATTCTAAGAAATTCCATATCCATTGGTGGTCACCCTCCATTCCCCACTCCTCCCATCTGTATCAACTACTAATCTTCTTTCTGCCTCTACAGATGTCCCTATTCTGGACATTTCCTATCAACGGGATCCCGCAATATGTGGCCATTTGTGATAGGGTTTCTTTCACTTCACATGTTTTTAAAAGATCATCCCTGTTGTAGCATTTATTACTAATTCATTACTTTTCATTGTTGAATAATAAAATGAAATAATAAATTTAGAGTACACGTTTTATTAACTCACCAGTTGATGGATATTCAGGGTTATATATAATGCTGCTATGAACATTTATTTATTTATTTATTTTATTTTTTTGCTATGAACATTTATGTACAAGTTTCTGTATGATAGAGATTTTCAGTTTTCTTGAGTATATATTTGTAAGTACAACTGCTAGATCATATGGCAATTATATGGTTAGTCTTTTGAGAAACTGCCATACCATTTTCCAAGTTATCGCACCACTTTACATTCTCACCAGCAGTGTATGAGGGTTCCAATATATCCACTTTCTCACCAACATGTTACTGTCTCTTTCTAATTATAGCCATCTTGGTGGATATGAAGTGGTATCTCATTGTGGTTTTGATTTGCATTTCCCTAATGACAAATAAATGGTTTTGAGTCCTTTTACCATGCTATTGACTTTCAAATTTAAAAAGGAAAAGGTGTTTCATATGAACCATGATTTAAACTGTCACAATTTTTCCCATCTAACATTACTACCTTATTATTTAGATCTTTAATAAACTAAGATAAAGTCTCTTCAGTAAATGGTGTTGGGAAAACAACAACAAGCAAAAGTATAAAACAACCACTTTCTTGTACCATATGCACAAATTAACTCAAAATGGATTGAACTCTTGAATGTAAGACCTGAAACCATAAAACTCCCAGAAGAATATACAGGCAGTAAGCTCCCTGATGTCAGTCTTGGCAAGGATTTTTTTTTTTTTTTTTTTGATCTGACACCAAAAGCAAAGGCTTTGGTAGAACTATATCAAACTAAAAAGCTTCTGCACAGCAAGGGAAATCATTAACAACACAAACAGCAACCCTCTGAATGGGAGAAAATATATGCAAATCATATATCTGATAAGGGGTTAATATCCAAGATATATAATAAACCCCTATCACTCAATACCAAAAAAGCAAACAATCCAATTAAAAAATAGGCAGAAGATGTAAACAGTCATATAAACATATTTTTCCAAAGATATATAGATGGCCAATAGGTACATAAAAGATGTTCAACACCACTAACCACCAGGGAAATACAAATCAAAACCATCTCACACTTCTTAGGATGACTATCATCAAAAAGAAGAAATAACAAGTGTTGGCAAGTGTGTGGAGAAGAGAATTCTTGTGTACTACTGGTAGGAATATAAATCAATGCAGCCACTATGGAAAACAGTAGAGAGGCTCCTCAAAAAATTAAAAATAGAACTATTGGACAGCCTGGGTGGCTCGGCAGTTTAGCGCCGCCTTTACCCCAGGGCATGATCCTGGAGACCCAGGATCGAGTCCCACATCGGGCTCCCTGTACGAAGCCTGCTTCTCCCTCTGCCTGTGTCTCTGTCTCTCTCTCTCTCTCTGTCGCTCATGAATAAATAAATAAAATATTTAAAAAAAAATAGAATTATCATATGATCCAGCAATTCCACTTCTGCGTATTTATCCAAAGAAAATGAGAACACTAACTTGAAAAGATATATGCATCCCTATGTTCACTGCAGCTTTATTTACTATAGCCATGACATAGAAACAACCTAAGTGTCCATCAATGGATGAATGGATAAAGAAAACATCACACACTCTCACATTCATTCACACACACACACACACAGTGGAATATTATTAGCCATAAAAGAGAATGAAATCTTGCCATTTGTGACAACATGGATGGACATTGATGGCATTATTACGTGATATAAACCAGACAGAGATAGACAAATATCGCATACTATCGCATATATGTGAAATCTAAAACAAACAAAAAAACAACCTCAGAGATTCACAGAACAAATTAATGACTGCCAGAGGTGGCAGTGGGTGGCAGACAAAATGGGTGAAGGGGGTCAAAAGATCCAAAGGTATTTCCAGTTACAAAATAAATAAGTTATGGAGATATAATGTGTAGCATGGTGACTATAGTTATTAATACTACATGTATATTAGAAAATTGCTAAGAGAATAAATCTTGTAAGTTCTCACAAAAAAATTATGTAGCTGTATGTCTATAGATATTAATTGAACTTGTAGTGATCACTTCATAATACAAATATTCAATCATTAGGTTGTAGGCATGAAAAAATGTTATATGTCAACTATACCTCGATGAAAGAAAACATAAAATACTTATTTTCATAAAAGTATATATGACTATAGTCATATGTCATATGGATTTATTATTATTTTTAATAAGTTAATGTTTTTAAATGTTTTATTTATTTTCTAATACAATAAAACAGATATACAACCTACATAAATAAAAACTATTTTTTTTAAATTTTTTTTTGTAATTTTTTTTTTTATTTATTTATGATAGTCACAGAGAGAGAGAGAGAGGGAGAGACACAGGCAGAGGGAGAAGCAGCTCCATGCACCGGGAGCCCAACGTGGGATTCGATCCCAGGTCTCCAGGATCGCGCCCTGGGCCAAAGGCAGGCGCCAAACCACTGCGCCACCCAGGGATCCCCAATAAAAACTCTTTAGAGGCCTTAATAATTAAGAGTATAAAGAGGACCCCAACACCAAAGTAGGTGAGAACCACTGAGTTACACTATAACCAAAAAGAAACAGTGAGGAATGTATAACCATGGACTATATATAGGTATGGTTTTCTAGTAGCCTACCAGATCATTCCTTCTGAAATGACCTTTGGCCATTGGGAATCATCATTCAATCTGTTATAAATTCATATACATTGTCTAGTTTTACTTTCCTATTTTATCCATGGGGATGACAATAGGAAATTGTCAAATGCTTTAGCACAGCATTGCACTAGTTCAGGGATCGGCATGTTGTATTCTGTAAAGAGCAAGAAAATAAACATTTGAGGCTTTTAAGCCGGATAGCTTCTGTTACAACTACTCAACTCTGCTCTTACAGTTCAAAAGCAGCCATAAAAAAGTAATAAATGGGCATGGCTGTGTTCCAATAAAACACGCTTTACAGTCAGACTGGGGACTAGATTTGCTGTAGTTTGCTGACTCCTAGCAGCAGTCTACCAGAAATCTAGAAATACCACTGAAAATTAAAGACTTCAGCTTGACATACACTTTTACTGAATCTGTGACTCTTAGTGATCACTGTTTTGTGAATTAAAAAAAAAAAACCCTTTAAGTAAAACTATTCCACTAAATATGGTACATAAGGATTTAATAAAAGAAGAAAACATTTAAATGATCATCCACATTACAAACAATGGCAATGTTACACTTGAGAGGAAAAGAAAATTACCTCTGTATCAACTTTTCGAGAAACCTCTGGAATCTGCCACAGATTTGAGGATGCAACAGGATTCTGGTTTACACATTCTGACTTTCTCACAGACTGCCACTGTTTCTGGTTACTCACTGTAACATTTTGTTCTTGATGTTCCTTAGTTTCTGAAATTGCATTTGTAGTTATTACCAATAAAAGGAAAGAAAATTTGATAACAAAATTAAATCTGATCTACAGAACATATTACAAACTCTATTAGTACTTCACTCTTAAAAATAAGGACACTAGAAACTTTAAGTCAGCTGCTGACAATTTGTTTTTAGCAAGCAATTTTGCTGAGGTGCCATACAGCCATCTTCCTAAGTTGCTACCTAGAGCTCTATCTGAATCCATTCTGAATTTAAATACTTCCAGTCCTCACCAGAAAACACCAAATAAATTAGTAAAAATTTAAAAACACATATATATCATAAGATCTAACTAATAGACACTAATCCACTACTTTTCATAGACCTCTAGTTTTTTTAACAAAAATTTTACCTTAAGTTAGCCTGTATCTTACCTTCTTAATGGTCTCCAAACAAAAGAGCCTCAACAATATATTTACTATTCTATGATTATATTCATTCCTACCATAATAAATGTAAAAATCCTTTTTTTTTATAAGTATTTTTTTAATTTATTTATTCAGAGAGAGAGAGAGACTGAGAGGCAGAGACACACGCAGAGGGAGAAGCGGGCTCCATGCAGGGAGCCCGACGCGGGACTTGATCCCAGGTCTCCAGGATCAGACCCTGGGCTGCAGGCAGCGCTACACCGCTGCACCACCGGGGGTGCCCCAAATGTAAAAATCCTAAATATTTGCACTGATATGCAAAAGGGATAATGAACTGTGACCAAGTTGTTTATTTAGGAATAATGCAAAGGCTGCTTAACTTTTGCAATCAGTTTAATTTGCCATAATATCAGAACTGAGAACATATGATCAACTCCATAAACACAGAAAAAGCATTTGATTAAGTTCAACACTAAGTCACAAAAAACTAATGGTAATCTAAGTATAAAGCAAAATTCACTCTGTTTTGATATCTAATAAGAGTAGCCACAAAAATCTATAGCAATTATCATACAAGGGTATGATAATACTGAAAGCTTCCCTCTAAAATAAGGAATGAGTTAAGATCTCCACCTATCATCCTTTCCATTCATCATTACAGCAAAAAAAAAAAAAAAGTTAAAAGAATCAGAAGGAAAAAAAAATGCTATATTATTTTCAAACAGCATGAAAGAATCCATAGAAAAATATTAAAATTATTCTGTATATTTAGCAAACATTATTGAATCTAAGATCAATAACTAAAGCCAGTTATATTTCTACATACCAGCAACAATGAAGTAGGGGATAAAAAAACTTTTTAAAAGATCCTATCCAAAAAAAAAAAAAAAGATCCTATCCATCATCACAGCATCACATCAAAAATATATCAGATATTTAGGAATAACTCTAGCAAAAGATAAGAAAGATCTCTACACAGAAAATGACTCTCGATAACAATTTAAAGACTACTTAAATGAAGGGATTTGCCAGGTTAGTGGATGAGACAACTTACCTGTTAAGATGTCAACCTGTCCCGTTAGGATTTCAGTCAAAATCTCATTTTTTTACAAAATGGCATTTGCATCTGATAGATCCTAACATTTATACAGAAACTCAAAAGGCCTAAATAGCTGATATAACCTCAAAGATGAATGAAGTTGGAAGATTTTACAGCTGACAGATATACTTATTGCAGTAATTAAGGTAATACTGGCACAAAAATAGATAAAAAGAACTATGAAATGGAGAAGAACCCAAAAGCAGACATCACACACAGATCACTTAATTTATAATTCAGTGAGGGAAAAGAGGGTCTTTTCAATAAATAATGCTAGACCAACTGGATATCTATATGAGAAAAAAGCCCAAAAGAATCTTGTCTTTTTTTTTTTTATTTATTTATGATAGTCACACAGAGAGAGAGAGAGAGAGAGAGAGAGAGAGAGAGAGAGAGAGAGGCAGAGACACAGGCAGAGGGAGAAGCAGGCTCCATGCACCGGAAGCCCGACGTGGGATTCAATCCCGGGTCTCCAGGATCGCGCCCTAGGCCAAAGGCAGGCGCCAAACCGCTGCACCACCCAGGGATCCCCCAAAAGAATCTTGATACTTCATCTTACATATACACAAATATTAAGTTCAGGTAGAAGATAAATCCAAATGTGAAAAGCAAAATGATAAATCATCTAAAATATATGGAAGATCTTAGAATAGGAATAGATTTGTTTAAAGACACAGGAAACAGCACATAGGAGAAGACTGATAAATTAAAATGCTTGATATTTAAGAATTTCTTGTTTTAAAAAGTCTTCACTACATAATGGGAAAAAGTTACTTGTAACACATATATCCAACAAAAGATACTTATCTAGATAATATAAATATCTCCTGGGTATCAACGAGAAAAAATTTCAGGAGTCAAACAAGTACTTCACAAAAGGATTTCTAAAAGGCCAATAAGTACAGAAAAAGATATTTAATGTTGTAAGTCATCAGAGAAGTGCTAATTAAAACCACAATGATGGGGATCCCAGGGTGGCTCAGAGGTTTAGTGCCTGCCTTTGGCACAGGGAGTGATCCTGGAGACCCGAGATCAAGTCCCACATTGGGCTCCCTGCATGGAGCCTGCTTCTCCAGGCTTTTCTCCGTGTCTTTCATGAATGAATAAATAAATAAAATCTTAAAAAAAAAAATAAATAAAACCACAATGACATATCACATAGCAGCATCCAAATGTCTAAAATTAAAAACCAACAATAAAACAATTGAGACTAAGATGGAGGAAGAGCAAAATATCTGGTCAAAGGTACAGTCATTCTTTTTTTTAAGATTTTATTTATTCATGAGAGACAGAGAGAGAGGCAGAGACAAAGGCAGAAGGAAAAGCAGGCTCCATGCAGGGATTTTTTTTTCCCTCCCAGGATTGGGATCACACCTCAAGCCAAAGGCAGATGCTCAACCGATGAGCCACTTAGGCATCGCACAACTATTCTATAGGACTATTTGGCATATCTGCCACAGTTGAACATATGCACAACCTGTGACCCTATAACCTCACTCTTTGAATACACCCATAAGAAATGTGTATGAATGGAATGCTATTTCACTGGGCTGTACTCTTATGATTTGGGAAATTTTGTGACTGAAGTTTTACTATGTAAGAATGTATCACAGGCACTGTGTAGGTAGGTACTCAACAAGCATTTATTGAAAAACATTAAAATAGGTGTCAGACTACTACTAATAACAAGCATATCTGGTAAAGATGATTTTTCAATAATACCAGTTCTAATAGATGCCATGAAAATTCCCTTCAAATACTAGGGATAGGAATCTCTTCTTAGTCAAAATAGTGACAAAAGAGATTATTCCAGGGTGATTAACAGTCCCAGTTTGTTGGGGACTGAGGGTCAAACTGATGTATGAAACTTACAGGACTAATACCAGGAAAGTTTCCATTTGGAAACCAGAGTTTCAGCAAGCCTAGTTTGTCCCAGTTTTCCTCCTCTGTCCAATTAAAGAAAAAATAGTCAATCTGGCAACAATTGTTTGGATGGAATCATCCAATTTGTGATCTTGTTCAAAAATCTTTAATGGTACTCTGAGGTCTACAAAAAAAATTTAAGCCTGGCATTCAGTCTACGAGTCTTATCTCCCACTTCTATATGACCTGTTACAGTTTTCCACATAACTAGACTGTCTTGGTTTCTAAAATGTTTTATTCTTTTGCTTTTGCTATTCCCTTCATCCAAAATACTCTATCACAGCTATTTCTTCCTCTTTAAACCCAAACAGTTCTTTGTGTTTCTTTTCCTCCATAAAACATTTTCTTATTTACCCTAAATCAATTAGTTCTTCATGTTACTCTCTGAGTTCTCTAGCACTTTATTTATGTGGTTCTCATGACACTTTCTAAACTCTACACAGCATTATATTTAAAAGTCTCTCTCCCATGCTTGATGGCAATCTCCTTGGGACACTGTCTCATTCATTTGTATACCCTTAGACCATTTATCATAGTACTCATATAGTGGAAAATCAAAAAAGAGAGAATTGTCCTACAGATACAGCTTCTGTGATTTTTTTTCCCAGAAAGTATTTGTCAAGCCAACTGAGAAACCTAACTCAATCCCATTGTAATGTCCTTCCACTCTTCTTTTTATGCACCTTTTAGTCAAATAAACTTCTGTTGCTGCAGAATTCAATACATTTTCAAACATTCTACATCATTCAACTGGCATACAAAATGAAGAGATATAGGTACACTCTTACATTGCAATTCTTAGATGGCTGGTCAACTTTCACAAGCAACAAAGTGTTTTTATTTAAGGAAGCTTATTTTGTTTCTCTTACCTTCTAATTTTGTTAGAAGACTTGATTCAGATTTATTCTTTAGGGTTACTGAATCAGTATCAAGTTCAGAACTCTTCTCATCTGACATCAGAGATTCCTTGGAATTGATATTTTGAATAGACTACATGGAAAGAATAAGTTATCAAAAAATAAAGTCTCATAAACAGTAACAGCACTAATTTGTCTTAGTGTTCAAAATACTGAAGTCTCATCTATGTGAAAAGATTGCTAAGTAAATTACCTACTATAATCAGATGTAAACAAACTCTAATATTAATTTCTTGAATTATTGATTAGGGCATTGGGAATGGCCGTATGTGCTTTCAAAGGACATAATCAACTGCTAAAATATATTCACTTAATAAAAGAGACTGAAATTTTGAATCCAACATAAGACATGTCTCATTATTGTTACTATGATTGTATTTTACCCCAAAAATAACGTTAGTGAAAATTAAGATTTGTATAAGTCTAAAACAGTAGTTATTCTAAATCCAAAAACTATTCTCTAAGATAGCTATGATTAGTTAAAACAATAAGCACAGACCATGAAAAAGGAATTACAAAAATTGTGAGGCCAGCAGTTGAACTCAAGTACAATAAGAATAGTATAACCCCTAAAAATGAGTGCACCAGAGACTAAAACTGTATCTTTGAATTCACAAAGATACATTACAATTTACTCTCATTGCTGCATAAGATGCCCTGTCAGATCAAATAATTAAACACATCAAGAAAAAGAAGTTGGGGGGAATGGCTCCCCAGCTATTCCCAAACCCAAGCCAACTAATCTACTTAAACATATGCATAATAATTGTTACTTCAAAGGTATCCCGGGAGATCACCGATCATTTCTCTACCATCTCAATTTTGGAGGAACAGTTTAGGACTTCCATAGTACTTCCCATTAGTAGTCCCTATAACTCTTGGGGCTGCAGGAACTCTGTTGGATACCTTCTCCAGAAAAAACTCCAGGGATCCAGGACCAGGACACTTTACTCCATGTAAAGATTTAAAAATCAAAATACCTTTAAATGTCTCAATTCACTGGAATCATTTCCACTTGATTTAGATCCAGGCACAATTATATCTCGGCGTTCTGATCCAGAGGTCTGTCTGTTACCCACAAAACAATTGTTTTAAAGCTTAACTTGAAATTAATCTTTATAATGTGTTATTTTTTTCCATTTTAAAGTTGACTTTTTAACAATATGTGCACTTAATTGGAAAGATTTCTTGAAAAAAATTTTAAATAGCATAATTACAATACAAATGTAATTAAATTGTATCTAAATTAGGTGGTGGCAGTGACAAAACCAACAGAGATAGGTATTACTTCATTATGTTAAGTAACAGTTGTAACTAAGTATGACTGTGGTAATGGAGAATGGGACAGCAGAATATAGGTAAAATTACACTTCAGACTGAAGTAGCTTAAGGACCAGAGTACAAACCTTCCCATGGGTCTCTACCATGCCTAGTAGATAGTCTGTCATTACAAACACCAAGAAAATGACTGGCTTGGTTTTGTTCTTTTTTTATACTGGGAGAAAGTCTCCTTTATTCTTCAACTAGGTGTTTGAAGTGGAGACAACAAAAGTTATCTTCTAGATTTTGGATAACCAAAATGCTCTCTTAATGTCTATCTTTGGTCAAGCCCTAAGCATGACAAGATTTTAATTAAAGAAGATGCCAACTAAAAACAAGCAGTTGTACTTTTGAAGTTTCTTTGTAAAATGGTTCTCTGGAATCCAAGGAGGCTTTTTAATAGAAATAAGAAATCAAGAATGGTTAGTTAAGAACAGACCAGAAAAATTTCTTTAGTTAAACTGGAATACTAGATCCCATTTTTTTAAAAGGGATAAATACCCCAACTTGAAGGAAGGAGAACACACTGGATACGATGAACAATATTTCATTTCTACCTGCCCTGCCCCACCTCTTGATGCTCTGGGCTCTGAAGCAAATGAGCGAATTAATCATCTTTCCCACTGATGGCTGCTCTTCTCCTTGAATGAACTAGTAAAGAAATTCTAGATCTCTTTCCACTCCTGCTATGAAGACTTTCATATATATAAGGAAGAGAGTCTCTTACCAGAGAGGTTACCCATAAGCAAGAAATGTCCAGACATTAGTTTTTACCCCAGGGACATCTTCATAAACTTTTAAGCTTAATATTGATGTAATATTTTTTCTCCTTCTTTCCTAATTTGTTAATCATTCCTTTAGTTTTCCTTTTTAAGATTTTATTTTTAAGTAATTTCTACATCCAAGATGGGGCTCATACTCACAACACTGAGATCAAGAGTCACATGCTCCACCGACTAAGCCAGCCAGTTGCCCCCCATTCTTTTGATTTTTAAAGAGTGAAAAAGCAAAATAAAGTCATATTTCCTACTCATTCCTTTGTCCTAATAGCATTTAGAGACTTGGTAACCTTTAATACTAAACATTTAATCATAATTACTATTATGCAATAAAGGATTCTGTCATCAATCTTGGAGTATTGAAAACAAATTGAAAAATCAAAATTCAAACATACCTTTTAGTAGAACTTGGTAAAACTGAACCATCTGTCTTCCCATAATCCGGGCTACTTAGAAGGTTAACTGGGACTCTTCCAAACGGGCATGACTAAAAAAATTTTGAAAGATTTGGTAACTAACTAAAAAATAAACATATACCTTACTGCTATCATTTTAATCAAGATAGATCAAAAGTAACTTACCCGTTTAGCTTTGTTTGTTTGTTTCAAGGAATTTCGATGACCTATCTCTGCATCCTGAGGGGGCAAGTTCTCTCTACACAGAAAGAAAATGTCCCAATTTTTAAAAGAATAATATTAACATATGTATTTCTATTAACTGCTAGTATTTTTACTGTAATGTGAAAATACATCTGCAGATGTATAAATAATGTAAATGTATGATGAACACTAAAAACCAAATTCAGTTTCCTTACCCATACAAAAACCTGGCTTTTGTAGTCTGTCCTCTGGAATCACAACTGATGTTCCTATTCTGTAAATGTCCAAGTGAATTGGGGAATGGTTCTTGAGTAGTCAATACCGTAGATACTGTAAAAAAATTTTCAAGTGTAATTAAGTTTATCCAGACACAAGAAATACACAAAAAGTAATCTCACAAACAAGAATATTTAAAAAGATGGGACACCTAGGTGGCTCAGCGGTTGAGTGCCTGCCTTCGGCTCAAGGCATGATCCCAGAGTTCTGGGATCAAGTCCCATATCCGGCTCTCTACGAGGAGCCTGCTTCTCCCTCTGCGTATGTCTCTGCCTTCTCTCTGTGTCTCTCATGAGTAAATAAATAAAAATCTTAAAAAATAAAAAAGAATATCTAAGAAGATAACTTATAGTAAACATTCATATCCCAAAGATGTTACAATTCTCTAACTATACTTTGTAATTTTCATGACACACCTGTTTCCCCAGAAAAAAGGCACAGTCCCTATTTCTTTTTTTTTTTTTAATTTTTTTTATTTATTTACGATAGTCATACAGAGAGAGAGAGAGGCAGAGACACAGGCAGAGGGAGAAGCAGGCTCCATGCACCGGGAGCCTGACGTGGGATTCGATCCCGGGTCTCCAGGATCGTGCCCTGGGCCAAAGGCAGACACCAAACCACTGCGTCACCCATGGATCCCCACAGTCCCTATTTCTAAAAATAAAAAGTCACTCTCTTGCTTAGACTGAATTGTTTTTAATGTGTTACTAATGGGTTTGATTAAAGAAAAAAAAATCCAACAGGGTTAATAAAGATTTTGTTACTCCTTAAAGTCCTACCTCCTTTACATCTAAAATTTAATCTTAGATTTTGATCATTCTACAAAGATGGTATTTTTTTTTAAAAGATTTTTATTTATTTGTTCATGATAGACACAGAGAGAGAGAGAGGCAGAGACACACGAGAGGGAGAAGCAGGCTCCATGCCGGGAGCCCGATGCGGGACTCGATCCCAGCACTCCAGGATCGCGCCCCGGGCCAAAGGCAGGCGCCAAACTGCTGAGCCACCCAGGGATCCCCTACAAAGATGGTATTTAAAAAAAAATATTATCCTGGGGGTGCCTGGGTGGCTCAGTGGGTTAAGCTTCTGCCTTTGGCTCAGGTCATGATCCTGGGGTTCTGGGCTAGAGCCCCACATGGGGCTCCTTGCTCAGCAGGGAATCTGCTTCTCCCTCTCAGTGGCCTGCCCCAGCTGCCTGTGCACCCATGTGCATGCTCTCTCTAATTAACAAATAAAATCTTTATAAATAAATTATCCTGAATTTTTTGCCACAGAAAAGTAGTAGTACACATTAATACATTTACCTGATAAACTCTTCTTTTCCTCCTCTGAAAGCAGCTGCTTCTTTTGAAGGTTTAAATTCTGAATGGCAATTTCCAGCATTTCCAGTGGTACTGCTCCACATTCTACAGCTTTATGAAGAAGCTGTTTACTTTTTTTGAAATTACCTAACAAAGTAAAAAATAATTGTCATTTTAATGCAGCAATCTTCTATTTCTCAGATACTTACTCATCAGGATCTAGGGAGAAAATTTAAAAATTTAAAAGGTTTAGGCAAAAATATTTATTCCAAGATTCATGTACCTTATTTCATTAGCAAATAAAAGCAATTTCTCTCTTCTGGTAATAATGCCTGTCAAATAGTTTACTTATGTAATATGTAGTTAACATAATTATGCATTAGTTTATCACTACTGTCTGTTTTTCTTTTTCTTTTTTTTTTTTTTTACTGTCTGTTTTCAAAAGTAAAAGAAATATAACAAAGTAGTATAAACTAGGGACAGTAAAAACCAAATAAAGCGAAACTTAGGGAATTTAGTAAAAGGGAAAACTAAGCCCTAGATGTTATTATAGTCCTAAGAACACCAACCTGTTACAACACAGTATAATTATCATTCATGACAACATTTAGTTATTAAGGTTGACATCTTTTGCTAAAGAGAATCCTCCATCAAAAGGATCTATATTTTAAAAAGTAGTAACAGAGATTAGCCTTTAGCTACCAGACTTAGCTATACCATCCCAAAAATGCAAAATAATTGAGATTACCATTATTACCTGAATACAAATAAATCACCAAATTTTCTTTCAACTGCAAACTTACTCAATATATTTTGTCTAGAATTTGATTTATCAATATCAAATGTATACATCATGGATCATATGGAATGTGTTAGCATTTATGGGAACCACTCAGCTATGCTATACACTTGGCACTTAGGATTTAAAAATGATTGAGAGATGGCTTCTAGCTTCTGACAGTTTACAAATTTTAAGAATATAAACATATCTGATAGTGACTTAGTATACATTTATTCAGAATAGTGGTATTTTAGGATTTAAAATTTTTAGGGCAGCAAAAGAAAGGTAGGCTTAGATAAGAACTAGTAAGTAGGGAGCTTAACAAGGTCATAGACCCTTTTGAGAGTCTGATAAAAAATGCAGAATGTCCACCAACCTTACAAAAATATATATACACACTTAACTGCACATATGATTTCACAGATGCACATAATTCCTGAAAGCCTATTCATAACCTTGTTCAAAATAATCACAATTTTGACCTTGAGGCCACTACTACATTGCAGTGATAGTTTCTTTTTTAAAGATAACAAAATTCGAGATTTTCATTATTTATGTGTTCTAATGTATAAAATTTACAGTTGCTATTGATAGGCTGTAATACTTCAACAAATGTTTTAAGGAGGGAGGGTATTAAAGGCCTGGCCAAACTTACTCTAATTAGCAAGGAGGAATCAATTTTCCTAGGCAGAAAAGGAATGATTTTTTTAAAAAGTCACCTGACAGTGCACAGGATGGATTAGAGATGATTCAGATCACTAGGCCTCAAATCTTGTAAATAAGTAAAAGTTCAGGGTTCTCAATCCATTTCCTGAGGTTTTGCAATGCTTTTCTCCAACCTCAACCCTGGGAAATACACTCCAGTGACTAAGCCCTGCTTTGGGCACCGGGATGGGGATTCTGGTTGAGCCAAACCAATAGTGATAATGTCTGCATACTGGTAGTAAATGGGATTGTGGTTGGAGCAGAAATAAGGTAGAGGGAAAATTAGAAACATGTGGTCAGAAGGCAGACTGAGCACAGATCCAAAAGCCCTGGAAAATGAGAAAAAGAAAAGACTAAAGAATGGGTAGGCTAAAAACATCTGAAGAGATTCTCATGGTTCTGTCCAAAAAAGTCCATATTACACAAGAATCAAATAAACAAGAAATAAAAGGTCCTACAGTAGTTTGCTTTGTCTTTTTAATTAAAAAGGATAACTAACAATTAATGCTACAATTATATTTTGATGTGTATCTTGGTATTATGAGACCAAGCATAAGGAAACTTTATCTAAGTGCCAACGTAAATATCTTATGTCCTTCTATCACACAAATATTCAGTGAAAAAGCTACTTTCCTTTAGACATTTCCTGAATCTAATTAATAGCACAAACACAACTTTCCAGCTTATTTCCAGGGATTATGCCTCACAAGTAGAAAAGCTAGTATAACAAATATTCTCTGCATTTATACGTCAGCGGCATTCTTCCCCCACATTATCTGATCAACTTTCATGCTTTTTGCCGCAGAATTCTACTTCATATGTCTGATTTAACACTACAATGTGAGTTACAGCAGTAAGCAATCTATTAAAATTTGGACTTGACATTTTCAAATTACCTTGTGATAGTTCAAACTGTGCAAAAGATATATGCACGAAAGCAAATTTCTTGCAGTTTGCTTTGGCCATATGAAAGTAGTCACGGGCATCGTCCGGCTCCTGAATACTGTAATAAAGATTTCAGAGTCAAATTTTAAGAAAAAGGACAGAGCTACCTAAGTTTGAGAACTCCTCATTCAATTTTCCAAGGAACGTGGGATATTGTTTTTTTCTGTGCGTAAAATTAAATACTGATATGTTGATTTTTAAAATGTTTTTAGGCAGAGTCCAGAATATGTAACTTTTGTGGAAATACGTACATAGTAAACAGAGTTTACAATATTCACTTGTAAATTCTAAACAAAAAAATTTGGTTAAAAAATATTACTTTTCTTACAATCAACCCTGACATGTTTCTTTTCATAATGTAGCTATGTGCTATGTATGTAGTTAAATGTAGTTAAAAAGTGAATACTTACGCTTTTAATTCAGCAAATCTCACTTGAATTTGAGCAAAACTCTCATTTTGCCCATATTTATCTGGAGGCAGGGCTTCAATTGCTTGACTATAACGACCAATCAATTTATTTAAAAGAGCATCATTTAGAGGGACACTGTTTTTCTCTAGTTTGAGCAACAAATTCAACCAGTCCTCTGGGTTGTTTGCCATCATCATAATTTGATTAACAGTTCCCGAGTTATCTGAACAAGAAGAACAAAATATACCATAACAAATGCCAAATTGCACTTTCCCTTCAAATTAGTTAATAATTTATATTTTTGGTATACATGTAGATAAACTCCTTAAAACCTTTAAAACTTCAACAAATCATAAATATAAGCAACTTATTTATTGCATATATGTCTTTATAAGAGTTTATCTTACTCCAAAAGTTATATATTTTGAAGGAAAGAAAAACTTTGGAAACAGTTTTCTTATAAGTAGCTTTTTAAAAAGACCATATGTAGTCTAAGAAAATTTTATGCTCTACCAGCTTAATTCTATTTCAGCACTCTAACTATCCAAAGAAAACCTAAGCCTCGTCCACCAACACCTATTAACAACTTTGTTAGAAAATTCATCAATGACTTACTCTTTAAAGATTTTAAAACTTACTGTTACATTCCTAACATACCCTTCTTTACCTCATCCATCCAACACAATCTCCATATACCTCAAACTTACCTTTAACCCAGTCAAACAAAACCAATTTATAAAAGATAACCGGTATGGTTATTTTCTTCTCCCTCCAAGTTACCTCCAGAATTTTCATGTTGTGATTGATTGATGGATTGATTGATTTACTTACTGTCAGTCATTTTAAAAAGACAAATTGAATTAATATCAATCTCCTGTTCAGGATATTTTAGTCATTACTCACATTATTACATTCAGATTTCCCAGAGAAACTATCATTTCTATGAGTTTTAGTTACCTTCAATAAGGGCAAAATCTTTGCTTTTACAAAAAAAATTGTTGTGTCTGCTTTTTACTAAAACATAACATGTTCATAACTCTGCTTTTTAATTTTAATCTGGGCTGATATTAATTTCATTTTCTAGGGATCCCAGGGTGGCGCAGCGGTTCGGCACCTGCCTTTGGCCCAGGGCGCGATCCTGGAGACACAGGATCAAATCCCACATCGGGCTCCCGGTGCATGGAGCCTGCTTCTCCCTCTGCCTATGTCTCTGCCTCTCTCTCTCTCTCTCTCTCTCTGTGTGTGTGTGTGTGTGTAACTATCATAAATAAATAAAATTTTTTTAAAAAATAAATAATTTCATTTTCTACTTTTTTACCTCCCTTCCATTGCTTTCCTAAAGAATTAGTCTGCAAAATGTCTAAAAACCACTGTTTGCAAATGTATTCCTCATGCCTCTGAGTACTCCATTCTCTCCCTACTCAGAACTTAAATTGTGTCTTTATTGTGTTAGTATTCAGTTGATGCCAAGCATATTTCACAGTGCAGCACAGTGAATATATAAATTCTTGTCACCTAGAAACCATGGTTTTAAGCATCTATGGATGCTTATAATACTTACATTGACTTCTATCCCAGCTATCAATATATGTTAAGTATTTAGTTTTGAGTGAGCTAAGAATTTTAAGTAAGGACTCATCTTGGTGTGCAAGCTTTGTTAACATTATTTAAATACACATAATAAAGTATGGTAATATTCTAAGATTTTGCTTAAGACCAAAATGATCAGTTTCTAGGTTGTTCCAAGTGAGTAGGATCTGCCATCATGACTAGACTTCAGGGTCTTCCACTTATTTTCAATCCCTCACCCATTTAATGGTCAATATAGATATAACAAATTTATCCAAAAGTCACATTTCAAACAACCCCAACAATGTGAAATATAGAAAGAATTAGGCTTCTGACCTAACTGCTCATAAAGCTAGGGTATTAAACTTTGGGTACTTTCACTCTTTCATCATCCAATAAAAATTTAAGTATCTACTAAATGCCAGGCACCATTTTAAGCTCTATAGATATAGCAAATCAGACAAAAGTCATGCCTTCATGGAGCTCACATTCTCGTGGAGGAGATAGACAACAAACAAATTCATGAGTAAATTAGACATAAGGTGATTAGTGCTATAGAGACAAATAATACAGGGAAAGTATATACATGCTCACACCAGCAGGTTGCTATTTTAAATAGGTGGGCTAGGAAAGGCCTCACTGAGAGGACCTGTGAACAGACTTGGAAAAGCTAAGAGCAGAGAGGTATCTCAGGGGCGGTGTTCAAGGCAGAGAGCAAGAACAAAGGCATTGGGGTAGGTCTAGTATATAGGAGAGAGCAGGGAAGCCACGGTCACTGAAACAGAGTAGGCAAGAGAGAATAGAATAAAAGAAGGAGTAATAATAGGATAAAAGGAAGATTCTCCCCTATCAAAAATTGAGTGTTTGACTTTAAGTGTATACATCATTTCATTACGATTCATCTGGTTCTCAGTTTGCAGCAAAAATGAAATGGGAAAAAATGGCATACCTACTGTTGGCAGGCGTATCAACAGAAGGAACAGCTGACAGTAATGCAAGCATTAAGAGTACACTGTAAAGGGTTTCTATTTTTAGGAATGCAAAAAAAACATGGGAACATTTCCACACAGAAGGGTTAAATTATAAGGTGTTTGTAGTCTAATTGGTAAGCAACAATTACTGAGAAAAAGTGTACTTGTGAAATGCAAGTGATTAATACTTCATTCCTTTACCTTAGCGGGCACTCAAAGAAAAGAAACTCACCTGTAGAATCAGCAGAGACTTTATTCAAGCTTAGTTCATCAGTAAGGTCTTCATTTTTAAATTTATTTTTAATATCTCTCACTTTGTTCATTATAGAATCAATTGTCAATTCTCTGCCACCTACGTCTTCAGCCTCCATTTCTAAGGCAAAAAAAAAAAAAAAAAAAAGAACTGGGCATCATTCCTTTTTACTAGCATTAAAGAAAAAAGATGTTTTAACTAGCCTTTTAGAACCCAGAAGACTAAAGTATTCGTTATACTATCACATCTAAACACAGATATTATCAGAGTAGTATTTGTGAAGCTATGTGCATAAAAACAACAGCATATCCTTATAATTTGTCCAGCAAGGTTTCCAATAGGCCAGGTACGCCTTTTCTTCCCAAAAGAAACTTCAATGAAGCCATTGCACAACACAGATATTGCTGCCCGTCCTTACTTTCAAACTTTCCATTTTCCAGAATTATTTCCTCTGGGCCATGTGCAAACCCATTTTTTTTTTTTTAAATGTGAGGGAATGTTTGCTTGGATTCTGGCAGTGACATATAGAAATAAAGAATGTTTCTGATAATGATAATAACCATTCCTTTATTCACCAGCTGTATGCAAGTCAATCTGCACATTACAAGTGCTTCCAAGGCGTATTGCCAAAATGCAATAAACATTATCGCCTTTTATTGATGAATGGGATATCAGAAGGCTTATTCTTATGCCTATTTGGCAGAATTATGATTTGCTATCTTAAATCATGCTAAAACCAAGAAATCTACTGTATTCTTCTAGCACCGAGCACTTGCTCACCTGCATGGTAGTGATGCTGCAAAGGGCAGTTCATCCTGTCACTCTCAGGTTTGAGAGTCTCAGACATTAACCCGGTGGCCCAGGGTAAATACTACCAATACCGCCCCTGACCTCGAGTCTTGACAACGAAAAGGGGCGATAAAGTGGGCAGCCAGACACCACTATCTGAAGTCGGGTTCAAAAGGTAACTGTCAGAACGAGGTCACCGTTTCCTCTCCCAGTCCTAAAACACCAGACAAGAGGGCAAATCCTTTGGGAAATGATCTCCTGTCCCCAAAACTCCCCCCCAGGGGCCCGCCAGGCTCTCTCTTCAGCGAGGTACACACCCACCTCTCATTTCCTGGGCCCTCAGCAAAATCGCCCCCTCCACCCACCCACCCGAGAGGCGGAAGCTGCGAAGCCTCCCCTCCCCCTCCCTTCGTGTAGCCGCGCCCCCCCCTTCTACCAGGCCCTGAGTCCTCCCCGCCTCGCTCTCACCACTCACCGGCCCTCGCGGCTAAAGAGCCCCACACACGGGCCGCCGCCGTCCCTCGGTGTGTGTCTGCGAGGGAAGAACACCGCCGGAAAGCGGAATCGGGAAGAAAAGATGGAATCCAGATCCCTCTCCTCAAACACGTTTGAATTTCCCCGCCGCTACCGCCGCGGCTGCCGGTTGGTCAGTTCTGGTCACGTGGGAGCGTCTGCCGTAATTGGCTCGTGCGCGTCAGCAGCGCCCGGGTGCCTGGGATCGCCCCGTTCCGCCGCGGGAGGCCCTGCGCTCCGACTCCTCCCGGTCTGCGCGGGCGGCAGCGTAGCGCTGTGGCCGGGTGGGCGTCCCGGTGTCACCGGGCCCGGTCTCCTGCCTTTCCCCGTCTTAGGCAGCCCGGATTCTTGCCGGGGAGGGAGCCAGGCCTGGGCAGGGCTACCTGGCGAGAGGAAGCTAGTGACGGAGACCGTTAGTCCCAGCATCAGGACCTAAACGATGCCTGTGAGTCGGCCCTTCCCGCCTCGGTGCCACCCGATTGGGTCCTTCACCCTCCCACTGCCCCGCTTAGGGGGCACGTGGCAAGCAAGGATCTTTCTCAGAGCTACCTGTACGCCTGCTGCCTGCGCAGGAATCAACGTGCTTTTTTGTCCTTGAGCTTCCACTTGGCCTTCCCGCTCTAAAATAAATAACTCCGCGCTTCCTCTTGGAGCCAAGGCCCTCCCTCCCCTTTGTCAGAATTCTGCTCGGAATACGCAAGCCCGTCGGGAAGGCAGCGGCCGGAACTCGCCTGATCAGCCCCCTTCCTCCCAGTTTGTCCGCTTTAAGAGCTCAGGCGCCTGCCGGGAAAGGGCACCTCCCTTGCTGGGCCTTTGCTGTTAAAGTGGCTTTGTGTTTCCATGTTGCGCACGTTCTGCTATAACCATCGGGGTGCAGGTGTTCTCCGGCATTTCCCTGCATCTGTTATCTTTGGGGTAAACCCCTAACAGTGCAATTGCTGGGTCGTAGGGGAGGTCTATTTTTAACTCTTTGAGGAACCTCCACACAGTTTTGCAGAGTGGCTGCACCAGTTCACATTCCCACCAACAGTGCAGGAGGGTTCCCTTTTCTCCACATCCTCTCCAACATTTGTGGTTTCCTGCCTTGTTAATTTTCCCCATTCTCACTGGGGTGAGGTGGTATCTCATTGTGGTTTTGATGTGTATTTCCCTGATGGCAAGTGATGTGGAGTGGGACAAATATTATATGGTCTCATTTATTTGGGGAATATAAAAAATAGTGAAAGGGATTATAGGGAAAAGGAGAGAAAATGAGTGAAAATATCAGTGAGGGTGTCAGAACATGAGAGACTCCTAACTCCGGGAAACGAACAAGGGGTAGTGGAAAGGGTGGTGGGTAGGGGTTGGGGTGACTGGGTGACGGGCACTGAGGGGGGCACTTGACGGGATGAGCACTGGGTGATATGCTATATGTTGGCAAATTGAACACCAATAAAAACAAACAAACAAACAAATAAATAAATAAGGGCAGCCTGGATGGCCCAGCGGTTTAGCGCCTGCCTTCAGCTCAGGACGTGATCCTGGAGACCCGGGATCAAGTCCCAAGTCAGGCTCCCTGCATGGAGCCTGCTTCTCCCTCTGCCTGTGTCTCTGCCTCTCTCTGTCTCTCATGAATAAATAAATGAAAATCTTTAAAAATAAATAAATGTATATATATATATATTTACAAAAATTAAAAAAAAAGTGGCCTTGTGGTTCAAGGCACCACTTTCTCTTCTCTGCCGATTGAAGAGAGGTCTTTGTTGTGTCGGCATTAGGACATCTGTTGTATGGTAGAAAAGGCTGGTTGGTTTTGTGTATGTGTAGGAAAGGAACTACAGAGGTCCCTTGTTAACTCCAAAATTGCCCTGAGAACCCTTGCATTCCCAGGTCTGGCTAGGCACTTAGCCAGCCAGGAAGCCTTTCCTCACTTTTTAATGCATCTTTCCATGTCTACTGGTTATATATTTATACTTCAGCAGAACAGATTCATCTGCCGTAGCATGGTTGGGTGATCGCCACCTCTACACCATTGTGCCTAACACTGCATTTACCTGGAAGAAATTGGTTATTCCACCAATTCTTGTTGATGTCTTAAGGACTGATTCAAAACTTGCATTTTCCTAAAAATACACCCTAACACTTCTTTCTTTATACTCATTCCTTTGGTGATCTCCAGTCTCAATTTAAAATATCAACTGTATGCTAATGACTCCCAAATTTATATGTCCAGCTGAGTTCTCTCCCCTGAACTTCAGAATCATATATTCATTGCCTACTTAACATCTCTACTTACCCATCTCATAGGCATCTAAAAACTGAAAATGTCCAAAACTGAGCCCCTGATCTTCCTCTCCCTTATCCCCCAAACCTATTTCTTACAAAAACTGCTCTGTAAAAGACAATTCCATTGTTCTAATTTTTAGGTCAAAACCTTTGGTGTATGCATGACTCCATATCCAATCTATAAACAGACTGTGTTAGGTCCAGCAAGGTATTCCTGAAGTGCTACCACTTCTCCCCACCTGCTCTGCTACCAGCCTAGTCCTTCATCACTCACTTGAATTATTGCACTAACCTCCAGGCTGGTCTCCTTGCTTTTCTTCTTCATCTCACTTCAAATTATTCTCCAGCACAACAGAGTATTCTTAAATCACATTACATCATTCCTTTGTTCAAAACCCTTCAGAGCGCCTTGTCTCACCCAGAATAAGAGCCAAAAGTCCTTACAATGGTCTAGAGCTACACTGTTCGGTACGGTAACTATTAGCTACATAGGCTATTGAGTACTTCAAATGTGGCTAGTGCAACAGAGGAACTCAATTTTTAAATTAATTAGGTTCATTAAAACCTGACATTCTGGGCAATTATTGGAAGATTCTACGTTTAGAACCTGAGTATGTGAATCTACTTTTTCAATGTAAATCTGTGACATCTACATGTAGATTAAGGACTTTCAATGAAAGTGCTTATAAGTTTTACATATAAATACACCCTGGATTTTGAAGACTTAGTATGAAAAAATGTAAAATATATTATGGATAATGTAAATATTGATCGTAGTCTGAAATGATATTTTTGATATATTGTATTAAAGTATATCATTAAAATTAATATCACCTGTCACAGACCAGAGGCAACTAAGGAGATATGATAAGTAAATGCAATAGGGTATCATGGATTGGATCCTGGAACAGAAAGTGAACATTAATGGACAAACTGATGAAATCCAAATAATAAATAACTGTGATTTAGTTAATAGTAATGTACCAGTTTTGGTGTCTTAATTTTGACAAATGTATCACAGTAATATATGATCTTAAAGATAGGAAAACTCAAGAGTATACACCAATTTTCTTTCTCTTTTTTAAGATTTTATTTATCTATTCATGAGAAACATAGAGCACAAGAGAAAGAGGCAGACACAGGCAGAGGGAGAAGGAGGCTCCATGCAGGGAGCCAGACGTGGGACTCGATCCCGGGACTCCGGGATCACAACCTGGGCTGAAGGCGGCGTTAAACCCCTGAGCCACCTGGGTTGCCCATAAACACCAATTTTCTATACTACACTTGCAACTTTGTGTAAACCCAAAATTACTTCAAAATAAAAAATTTATTGAGATTTAATTTCATCTGTTTCTTTGTACTTTTTTAATATGGCTAAAGGAAATTTGACTTGACAATTACATATGTGATTCGCATTATATTTCCAGCAGTGGTCTATAAAATCCTATAGTTTTACTTATTTATGTTATTTATTTTCTGACTCTACCTGCCCCTCCAGTAGAATGTAAACCCCACCAGTGCAGGAATTTTTGTCTACTTTGCTCGATACAGTATCATTAGGGCTTAGAGTGGTATCTGGAACTTTGCAGACACTCAGTGAATGTTAGCTAAATACTAACATTTGCAATCATTGGAGTATTTCAGAATCCTGTTTCCTCTACTATATTTGCAGACTTCTTGAGAACAGGCAACTAACCACGTAAGCTTCCTATAAGTGCTTGAAGAACCTTTTTATTGTATCCTACACTACTCTCAGGAACTATTTATTGACAGGTTATCATTACAAGCTATTCAGAAACAAAACTAGGTACCATTCTTGGCTAAATGCTTTATTAATTATTTTCATGGAAGATATGTAATAATGTGCCATATTGGAATAAATAGTTCCACTGCAGTGTTTAGATGTCCACATATGAGGGTGTCCATAGCTCTCCTGCTTTACCCAGAATCAGTGCTTCTGACTTACCTATCCAAATAGATTTTGATCCTTACCTGTTGTTCATTCAGGCCATTGGAATCATAGACCAATGATAAGCCACTTCCAGAGATGAGTAAGGAAATGAAGTTGTTCCAGTCAAGATGATGTACCACAATCACTAGTTTGTCTTAAAACCAACTTCATCTGACAGTGAATAAACTTGTTTATTTTCAGTCAAGCCTTCCACAAAACAATACAATTCACCAAGAGGTTATAACTTTAAGATGGAAAGCTTCACATTTTTTTCTTACACAAATAAAAGTTTGGATCATGTAAGTTTGCCATTATCATCATGTCACCTTTTTTTGCTAATCTGACAATTTTCTGTTAGCATCTTTTTTTTTATTTATTTCAATTACTGAAGTTATTTTACATGAGTTCACTAAATCCCAAACTTTATTCCAGAAACTGTTTCCCATACTTGGATTTACTTTTGCAATGATAAGTTTTTAGAGAATGTAGTCAGTTACACACTGCTTTACAATGATTTATTCTGGGACTAAAAACATATCCTGCTTTGGGTGCATTTAGGAATGGTATACAGCTATAGGAATAATGAGAGTCTACAAATAATAGAAGGAAAGCTACATATCACAGAATGGACCAAGCATTTTTTTAAGAGAAAAAAGAAAGGACAAGGACAGTCAACAGAGTACTTCAGGATTGTGAAGAGAAATGGCAATGACAGTTTAGATTATGTTCTGACCCAGGAAAAGAGCAATAACATTTTGGGACCACTACTTGGAAACCAGGTATTATTTAGTTATTCAGGCAACAGATCATGCTAACAAATAACAGAAGACAAGTAAAATTCCGATTTTTCTTTTTTCTCCATCATGGATAATAGCATTCAAACTGACAATCTTAAAAAAGAAGATGATTGGGACGCCTGTGTGGCTCAGGTGATTAAGCATCTGGCTCTTGATTTTGGCTCAGGTCATGATCTTAAGACCCTTATGGGGCTCTGCTCTGGGTGTGGCATCTGCTTGAGATTCTCTCTCTCCCTTTTCCTCTGCTCATCTCTTCTCCCCCCCACTCCTACCTCAAAACAAAAAAATATGGTTGAGGTTCTTATCAGGTGAAGCTATATAAGAAAGATATTTATTTGGGGCGCCTGGGTGGCTCAGTCAGTTAAGTGTCTATCTTTAGCTCAAGTCATGATCCTAGGGTTCTGGGATGGAGCTGCATGTTGGGCTTGCTGCTCAGCAAGGAGTCTGCTTGTCTTTCTCTCCCTCTGCCACTCCCCCTGCTGTGTTCTCTCTCTCTCTCTCTCTCTCTCTCTCTCTCTCTCTCGCACTCTCTCTCTCAAATAAGTAAATAAAAACTTTAAAAAAAGACATTAACATTTCATTAAAATTTACTGATACAATGACTTTAATTTTAGCCATATGTTTTCAATCTCGGCTATATAAAAGGAACCTCACATTGCTGGGTAATATACTGGAGATAATAAACAGAATATTGAAAAAAATTTGTATTATAGTCCCAGAAACATTGTTGGCAGTTTCTGAAAAGTCATGATAAGCAAGACCAATGATGGAAAATCAGAAACAGACAAATGGCTCTTTTTAGAAAAGGTAAAATTTGGAAGCTATAGTCTATATAATATTGATGTGGATTTTTAGCTCAATTCTGGAATACATTATAGAATTGTTTGGAAGCAGAGAACTGTAGATACCAACATGAATTCTTTAAGAAAAATCCATGTAGAATAAACTCTTATTGTGACAGTGTCTAAATTTAGGGAAAGCAATAAACATAGAATACCTTCATTTATGCAAAGAAAGTGATAAAGCCACTCTTACTGTTTCGATGGTCCAAATATGGATCTGTTACCCATGATGTGAGATGATCCTGCAACTCTATGAACCATTATTCTCAAAGAACACTGCCTAATGGTTTGAGAACTTCATGGTGATCCCTAGTGGAAGGCCTCAAAACTCTATCATTGGTCTTACACTAAACTACATATTTTATCTGTGTGACAAATATATAGCAATAATGTTTATTCCTTTGACACATTAATTAAAACAAAAAATGAA